CACCCTGGTTAAAACTGCAAATTTGAGAATTATTGAAATCACTAATTTTTGTTTTTCTCTGTTTTTCTATAGCACTGGATCAGATTGGAGCTTTTCCCAGACATGTTAGTCCACAAACTGAAAATGATTGTAGATCCAGCTGACAGCAGCTACATGCCTTCATTGGTGGTGGTATCAGGTAAAGCGCAATGAAGCTTTTCCAGTCATTCTTAGGCAAAGATTTTACTAGTGCTTTTAGGTTTTAAAACGCATTCCTTTTGTTCCAACCTCTTCAAGTCTTTTAAAAAATGCTGAAAACTCTGTATAATTTAAATGGCAGTGCTGCATTTGAGAGTGGATATAGTCTTTTGATTTTCTATCAACACTCGCTCTCTGACTGGTCATCTGGACTAATATATATATAGTTCCTTAATTTGTCTAGCCATTCACATATGACTATTATGCAACCAGTAAGCAACAATTACAGATGCTGGCAAGATATGTTCATGCCCAGTGTGTGCGTATGTATCATGCATTTAAGTTGTGTAGTGTAGACAGTGATTGTCTTTCTGAAATGCAGCGTGAACACTAATTGTTCCTGTAAATATAAGTAATCAGTGGAGAAATGCATTGGGTTTTGCATCAAATGGGTTCATTTTGACCTGCAGCAAGGAATTCATTGCTGTTTCTAAATCATGTTGCGCTATGTCTGTTAGATCAGCAGATCCCCTTCAGAACACTGCTCTTCTCACACAAAGTAGGCCTACCTGAAATTTTTAATTAGAAAAGGCTCAATAATTCATTGGAATTGGTGTCCGCAGATTCCTGGAGGGCTGTGTTCTGTCTCAGTGGTGCATCAAGCACTTCATTCATGCACCAACTGCGCAGACACAACATGCACTGCTCCGTACAACTATTCTGCATTATTTAAAGTTTCTGTTCCCTCATACTTCTGACTGAGTTTATTCTTCCTAGGGGAATACTAAAAGTGCTGCAAATAGTTTGTAAAATCTGGCTCATTGTGGTCAAAGTAGCTGATTAAATTAATAAAAGTGAAACTGAGCAGTGCAACATGGATTGTCATTAACAGAAAAGTATTTAGCATAGTACAGGCTACTCTGAAACTGCGAATATTTCACTGTAGTTTTATTTATATTAATATTTCATTTGACAGCCCAGTTTGTGCTTTGATTAGGGTAAATAATGGTAGCCTACAGATTTCAAAGAAAAATTTTAATAGGCCTATTTAAAAAAAAGGAAACATGAACTGGACCACAACAGATCAATGTCATAACGAATGCTCAAATAATGTAGCCTAGTTTACAGCAAGCATCATGTTTTTTGTTTGATTGTGCTGTCTGTCATATACAGTAGGCCTAAAGGTCTGTTATTTTTACTTAAGAAGATATATTGTTTGAGTTTATCATGAATTATAGAAGGTGTATTATGCTTAAAAAAAAAAGAAAAAATGTCACCATATCGGGATTGGATCTGTATCGGTCGATTTTTGGTATTGGGATTGGTTCCAAAATAATGATATCGGTGCATCCCTATTCTAAAGCACTGTTTTCCTAATGAAAATGCATTAATGTAAAGACAACTGTAGTCTAGTCCTTTAAGGGTTCCCTGATCAACTAACTTCATCCTCCAGGTGGAACCTCACTCAACAATTTGATCGAGTTGAAGACCATCAACATCAATCCCACTGACACTGTCGTCTCTCTACTCAATGACTGCACAGAGGTTGGTTTGAATGTCCGCACAATTGCCTGTCCATTAAGTATGTTTCTTTAGAAATGCTGAACGTTCTTGTTCTTGTGTTTTCAGTATCACAGGTACATTGAGGTTGCTATAAAGCAGTGTCGAAGTTCAGGTATTGACTGTAAGATTCATGGCTTGAGTGCTGTGGGACGTGTCCGTGCCGAGGATGAAGATCTTGCAACTGTACCTTTCCTGGCATCTGACAACGAGGAAGAGGAAGATGAGAAGACCGCGACTGGAAGGTATGTATAAAAAAGAGATTAGTTAAAGTAAATAAAGAATGATCTGGTATATAGTTTAATTTATTGTTAATATTTTTCTTTGCAGTATGTCTCGAAAGAGATTGTCAGGCCTCGAGTCTGCAGCCACTATCAGAACCAAAGTCTTTGTCTGGGGTCTTAATGATAAGGACCAACTTGGAGGACTTAAGGGGTCCAAGGTCAGTACTATTTAAAACAAACAAGAAACGCAATTAATTAATTACATTTAAATTTTTTTTTATTTTTAGCTTATTTAATATGTTAGATTTTTCTTTTGTATAAAACATTTTTTATAAATGCCTTAGGATTGTTTTACAGCATTTTTAACAATAATTTGCAATGACAATTAATATCTTGTTTTGTCTCTTAGATCAAAGTCCCTTCATTCTCAGAGACTCTGTCTGCTCTGAATGTAGTGCAGGTGGCTGGTGGCTCTAAAAGTCTTTTTGCTGGTAAGTAGTTTAAAAACAACATCAGACCAATTATACCACTTGTAAAATATATTCCAACCATCTGTGGCTAAAGATGCTTTGAAGCAAGTAGTGAACAAATGCCAAATTCCTTCGTCAGAGATGAAACCTTTTATCAACGCTTACATTTTAAACAAGTGGCAAAAGGAATTGGATGCATTAGAAAACAATAAATTACATGAAATCCAACCTGAAGTTTCACACAGAATTTTAAGACATTTTAAGAATCGATTTAATCAAGTAGTTTTACCAGATGTGGTATTGGGCATACGAGAATAACACAAGGTTTTTTGCTCCAAGGTGAAAACCCTACTCAGTGTTTGTGCTGCTAAACTCCTCTTACTATAAAACATATTTTACTAGACTGTCCTGCTTTTACTGATTCCACAAGGACCTTTTATGAAATGAACTCTTTTAAGGGCATTTTTGACAAAGTGAAACCAGAAAAGATTTTAGAATTTTTATCATGTATTAACACAAAAAATCTTATTTAATTTATGTTTTATTTTGTTTGTTGACTTTTAAATTGTATATTTATTGTTGAAAGATTCCTGCCATGAAGATAGCCTTGGTTGCTGACATGGCAATAAATAAAAAATACATTACATTACATCCAACCATCTGTGTATGTGGCTACAAAGTATACAAAATAAAGAAACCAATATGGTTGTTTATTTGTATTTTAGATCTCCGGTTTTATATTCCGTAATTTTGGATAATTATTTGGGGTTCAAATATCACCATACTAGATTTTACTAATAAAATCCTTTTTTTTTTTTTTTTTTTTTTTTTACAGTGACTGCTGAAGGTAAAGTATATGCCTGTGGAGAGGCCACCAATGGAAGACTTGGTTTAGGCCTCTCCAGTGGAACCATCCCAATTCCCAGACAGATATCAGCTCTCAGCAACTATGTGGTCAAGAAGGTTGCTGTGCATTCAGGTCTGCTGTTTTTTCTGTTGAGGATAACATCAGTGTTATATTTTTTTCTTTAAATAAAACATGATTGGTCTGTTTGAGTGCAGGTGGACGGCATGCCATGGCACTTACCGTGGATGGGAAAGTATTCTCTTGGGGTGAAGGAGACGATGGCAAGCTTGGACACTTCAGCCGAATGTAGGCTATTTCTCCTTTTTACAACAGTATTGCAAAATATGTGTACGGTTTCTAAAGAGGGATCTTATGAGTGTGTTTTCCACTAGGAACTGTGATAAGCCAAGGCTGATCGAGGCATTGAAAACCAAACGCATTCGAGATATTGCGTGTGGCAGCTCTCACAGTGCCGCCATCACCTCCAGTGGAGAGCTGTACAGCTGGGGTCTGGGGGAATATGGCCGTCTGGGCCATGGGGACAACACCACCCAACTCAGACCCAAACTGGTATTTGTTTTGCTCACCTCCTAATCTCAGACTTCTCTATTCAGAACTGCAGGTTTACAGGATATTTACAGGGTGATCTTTATAATGTGAAGGCAATAAATGGAGAAACCTCATGAAACAAGTTGACCACAGACTGGTCTGACTTTAAAGTAGGGGTGTTCAATCCTGCTTCTGGAGGGCCGATAACTTGGAAAGTTTAGCTTCAGGTTGCTCAAACATACTAGCTTAGAAGTTTATAGTGAATCTAAAGACTTTTATTGGTTGATTCAGGTGTTTTGGAGCTATTTTCTGCAAGCCAGTGGTTCATCAGAAATTAGTTAGGACTTGCCTGCTTTTAAGGAGCTTTGCCTGTGTTTAGTGTAAAAGACTTTATACAACATTGTGTGGATTTCAAACTTACTAACCACCATTTATTGTTAGCATTTGTGTGCTGTTGTGCAGGTTCTAGAACATCACTGATTGGCCGTTTTGTTTATGGATGCTGCAGTTTAACAGACACGACTAGCCAATCACAATTTAATCTGTTGAGTGTGTGAACACAATGGCCAATCAGAGGCGTTTAAGAAATCACTCAGCATTCTAAATGCAAGCAGGAAATGCTGGCATTATCGAAACTTTAACTGTTGACATTGGTGCAACATTGCACAACATCTCATTGCACTTAATCAAATGCCTTACAAACTTGAACATTTCTTTTTTGCAGGTCAAGGTGCTTTTAGGCCATCGCGTTGTCCAGGTAGCTTGTGGAAGTAGAGATGCCCAAACTCTTGCACTGACAGATGAAGGTAGATACCGACATTTTTTAAAATGGATTCAGTGTTTTTTGTTTTTCTACTTTTTTCATTGCTTTGTTTTCATTTTGATTGTGTTTGTGGCCATGTATTTTGTTTAGTATTTTGTGTGTGTGTGTGTGTGTGTGTGTGTGTTCTATTTTATTTCAGTGTTTTGTTGTAGTTGCATTGCTGTTTGTGACTGTTTTGTAAAGTAGTTTTTTGTTATGTTTGCTTCAGTTTTAATGTTAGTGTTGTGGCTGTTTTTTCTTAGTGTTTCGTTTCGGTCAGAGTTTTATTGTCGTTTATTGTATTTTGCAGTTTGTGGCTGTTTTTGTTTAGCATTTTTTCTGTTATATCTTTTTTCAGTCTTTGTTGTTAGTGTTGTATTTTGCTGTTTGTGGCTGTTTTTTCTTTGTTTCGTTTCAGTCAGTTTTATATTGTTGTGGTTGTATATTGCTGTTTGTGGCTGTTTTTGTTTAGTATTATTTTCTCTTATGTTTTGTTTCAGTTTTTGTTGTTAGTGTTGTATTCTGCTGTTTGTGGCTGTTTTTTCTTAGTGTTTTGTTTCAGTCAGTGTTTTATTGTTGTGGTTGTATTTTGCTGTTTTTGGCTGTTTTTTCTTAGTGTTTCGTTTCGGTCAGAGTTTTATTGTCGTTTATTGTATTTTGCAGTTTGTGGCTGTTTTTGTTTAGCATTTTTTCTGTTATCTTTTTTCAGTCTTTGTTGTTAGTGTTGTATTTTGCTGTTTGTGGCTGTTTTTTCTTTGTTTCGTTTCAGTCAGTTTTATATTGTTGTGGTTGTATATTGCTGTTTGTGGCTGTTTTTGTTTAGTATTTTTTTCTCTTATGTTTTGTTTCAGTTTTTGTTGTTAGTGTTGTATTTTGCTGTTTGTGGCTGTTTTTTCTTAGTGTTTTGTTTCAGTCAGTGTTTTATTGTTGTGGTTGTATTTTGCTGTTTTTGGCTGTTTTTTCTTAGTGTTTCGTTTCGGTCAGAGTTTTATTGTCGTTTATTGTATTTTGCAGTTTGTGGCTGTTTTTGTTTAGCATTTTTTCTGTTATATCTTTTTTCAGTCTTTGTTGTTAGTGTTGTATTTTGCTGTTTGTGGCTGTTTTTTCTTTGTTTCGTTTCAGTCAGTTTTATATTGTTGTGGTTGTATATTGCTGTTTGTGGCTGTTTTTGTTTAGTATTATTTTCTCTTATGTTTTGTTTCAGTTTTTGTTGTTAGTGTTGTATTCTGCTGTTTGTGGCTGTTTTTTCTTAGTGTTTTGTTTCAGTCAGTGTTTTATTGTTGTGGTTGTATTTTGCTGTTTTTGGCTGTTTTTTCTTAGTGTTTCGTTTCGGTCAGAGTTTTATTGTCGTTTATTGTATTTTGCAGTTTGTGGCTGTTTTTGTTTAGCATTTTTTCTGTTATATCTTTTTTCAGTCTTTGTTGTTAGTGTTGTATTTTGCTGTTTGTGGCTGTTTTTTCTTTGTTTCGTTTCAGTCAGTTTTATATTGTTGTGGTTGTATATTGCTGTTTGTGGCTGTTTTTGTTTAGTATTATTTTCTCTTATGTTTTGTTTCAGTTTTTGTTGTTAGTGTTGTATTTTGCTGTTTGTGGCTGTTTTTTCTTAGTGTTTCGTTTCAGTCAGTGTTTTATTGTTGTGATTGTATTTTGCTGTTTGTGGCTGTTTTTGTTTAGTATTTTTTTCTGTTATGTTTCGTTTGTGTTTTGTTGTGGTTGTGTTCTGCAGCTTCTTTTTGTTTTGGCTTAATGTTTTGCTTCAGTTTTTGTTGTTGTGGTTGCTTTGCTGTTTGTGGTCATTTTTGTTTAGTATTTTTTCTGTTATGTTTTGTTATGGTTGTGTTTTGCTTTTTTGGGGCTATGTTTCGCTTTATTTAAATTACTGACGGTACATGAATGCATGTTCATTTGTCTTTTATAGGAATGGTGTTCTCATGGGGAGATGGAGACTTTGGGAAACTGGGCCGTGGTGGCAGCGAGGGATGTAACATTCCTCAAAACATTGAGCGTCTGAATGGACAGGGGGTCTGTCAAATTGAATGTGGAGCTCAATTCTCCCTCGCCCTCACCAAATCTGGAGTTGTCTGGACCTGGTACGAATATCAGAAGAGATTTAAAACTTAAATATTACTACATGCTGATCTTAAGTGAAACTTTTTAACATCATGTTATTGCATTGTTTAGGGGTAAAGGGGATTACTTCAGACTGGGTCACGGCACAGATGTTCATGTCCGCAAACCCCAGATGGTTGAAGGACTTAGGGGGAAGAAGATTGTTCATGTGGCCGTTGGTGCTCTGCACTGCCTGGCTGTCACCGAGACTGGACAGGTGGGCTCATTTTTTTATTATTTTAGCAAATTGGCATTGAGGAGGAGTAGCACAAGAACTGCTTTTCCCTACTTTTTCTCTGTTTTGTTCTCCGAATTAAAGTACTTGTTTCATGGTAAACCCAAAACGTGCCTATGACATAGTTTTAGAGCTTGTGTAAATTGTGAATTGTTGTCTGTTAGGTGTTCGCGTGGGGGGATAATGACCATGGGCAGCAGGGGAATGGCACAACCACAGTCAACAGGAAGCCCACATTGGTGCAGGGTCTAGAGGGTCAGAAAATTACTCGTGTGGCCTGCGGTTCTTCTCATAGTGTTGCCTGGACCACAGTAGATGTCACTACACCCTCCGTCCATGAGCCTGTGCTCTTCCAGACTGCTAGAGACTCTCTGGGAGCCTCTTACCTTGGTAAATTTCATCCCATCAACATTGTTTCAGTCACAGTGTGCATGGTGCTTAAAGTTAATTCTTTGACGTTTCTTTTATAGGTGTGCCATCAGATAGTGACCCGTCTTTACTGAGCAATAAGCTAAATGGCGTAAACAATGTGAAGCCCAACAGGCCATCTCTGGCAAAGATCCTTCTCTCTCTGGATGGTAATCTGGCCAAACAGCAGGCCCTATCCCATGTGCTGTCTTCCCTGCAGATCATGTATGCCAGGTATGACCTTAACACATATTTTTCCTAGGCTTTAAATGTATTTTGCATCTGAAATTGCTTGTTTTCTCTTCTGTTTAAATAGTAATGGATTAGCAAAAAAAATGGACTGAAAGCTAAAAAGGGTTTCGATATGCAAAATGTATTGATGCGTAAGCTAAAAAAAAATATTATAGCTCAAAAAAGTGCAACATTCTCTGTGCAAAACAAACAATATACGCTCACCAGCCACTTTATTAGGTACATCTTACTTGTACCGTGTTGGATCCTGTTTTGTCTTCAGAACTGCCTTAATTTTTCGTGGCATAGATTCAACAAGCTACTGGAAATATTCCTCAGAGATTTTGGTCCATATTGACATGATAGCATTACACAGTTGCTGTAGATTTGTCAGCTGCGGATCCATGATGCGGTTCTCCCGTTCCATCACATCCCAAAGGTGCTCTATTGGAGTTATTTATTTGAGTACTGTGAACTCATTGTCATGTTTAAGAAACCAGTCTGAGATAATTCACGCTTTATGTAACAGCACGTTATCCTGCTGGAAGTAGCCATTATATGATGGGTACATTGTGTTCATAAAGGGATGGATATGGTCAGCAACAATACTCGGGTAGGCTGTCGCATTGACACAACACTCAATTGGTAGTAATGGGCCCAAAGTGTGCCAAGAAAATATCTCCCACACTACACATCACACCAACACCAGCCTGAACTGTTGATACAGGGCAGGATAGATTCATGCTTTCATGTTGCTGACGCCAAATTCTGACCCTACCATCTGAATGTAGCAGAAGAAATTGAAACTTATTAGACCAGGCAATGTTTTTCCAATCTTCTATTGTCCAATTTTGGTAAGCCTGTGCTAATTGAATTGTAGGCTCAGTTTCCTGTTTTAAGCTAACAAGAATGGCACACGGTGTGGTCTTCTGCTGCTGTAGCCCAACTGCCTCAAATCAACAAGGCATTTGCATCCACAGAACTGCCGCTCACTGGATATTTTCTCTTTTCGGACCATTCTCTGTAAACCCTAGAGATGGTTGTGCGTGAATATCCCAGTTGATCAGCAGATTCTGAAATACTCAGACCAGCCTGTCTGACACCAACAACCATGCCACATTCAAAGTCACTTAAAGAGCCCATATTATACATGAAATAGGGTCATATCTTGGTTGTAAGGGTCTCCAACAACAGTTTAATATGCATGCAAGGTCAAAAAACACTTTCGTGGTCTTATAATCTGCATTTATTTTTACCTAATTATCCCAGCGACTCCTGTATGAATCGTCCAGTGATTCATTTGTTCCCAAACCCCTCCTTAGCGCGAAGCTAATCTGCGCTGATTGGACCGATGACAGTCTGTTGCGATTGGTCGACTGCCTTCAGTCAGAGAATGAAATGCCAAACAGCTAATCAGCAATATAAAAGTAATCACAGTTCATACACGCTCGATAGTGTAAGGCGTGGATTTTAGCTGCCAGTGGGTCAATGTAAATACAGACTATGGACTTGAAAATACAGACGACTAACTATTTTATTGAGCAAAAACTCCAAAAACAGTTGAGGAGATCTCCTAGCTTCTCACTCTGCTCTTTTCACAGACACACACACACACACACACACACACACACACATACGCACTTAACCCTGCTCCGGACGACAACGCGCGCGCACACACACACACACACAAACACACACACCTCCGGACGACAGCGCGCGCACGCACACACAGACACACACACTAACGTTACTCCCCGTCCACGGAGCTCCGTTAACGCAGCACGCGTCGCGTTTTTAACGTGACTTTGCACAGGATAAGAGAATATAGCCAGTTAACCTGATACAGTACACGCGGTTACAAGTAACAAATCACAACTAAATACATTTGCAAGCTAGAGTCAACGAGGCAACTTTAATCGCACGTACTTACACTTGAGAAATGGAGGAAGAAACCCATCCTGACGTCTATCAGTAAGTTACTGATCCTTCCTTTAACAAACGCTGATGAAGTATTCTTTGTAGCATGTAGCTTCCAGAAGTTTCCAGTAGTTTCCAACTGCTTGGCTGTAATGCTGAGGTTTCATCTTTGGGTAGAGACTCAATATATCCATCTGCAGTGTGACTTCAATCGACCGGCATGTTTGTGTGTGTGTGTGTGTGTGTGTGTGTGTGTGTGTGTTTGTGGGTGTGTGTGTGTGTCTCGGTTTCTGCGTCAGAGGGCGGGGCCTCAGGTTTGAAATCTCCCGGGTTTGCGCGTGCACGTGAATAACTTGGTTTCGTTCGTACGTCATGGCGAAACACCTAATGAATCCGTATCAAGGCGACTCGTTTGAAGCACTATGAGTCGACTCTTTTTTAGATGAATCAACCGTTTTTAACACTGTACACTAACAGATTTAAGCCTTAGCTGGATACTCCACTTCACTTAGAGCTGTGTTACACACTACATGGAGGGGAATTTTCAAAAACCCATAATATGGGCTCTTTAAATCAACTTTCTTCCCCATTCTGATGCTATGTTTGAACTGCAGCAGATCGTCTTGACCATGTCTACGTGCCTAAATGCATTTAGTTACTGCCATGTTATTGGCTGATTAGAAATTTGCTGACAAGGGTTCTTAATAAAGTGGCCAGTGAGTGTATAATACTTGCCATCAGAGTCTCAATAGACAGCGTTTCTATGAATATTTGCTGTATTACAACTAATGAGGTGGACTCAAAATGAACTTAAAATGCCTGTGTACTATGTAACAATTTTATTAGATAGTTTTCCAAATATTATTATGCAGTAATAGTTTTTAATATCTATGAAAGTTAGTACATATATTAATGGTTTTAGTGTATATAGGCATTTTGTTTCTGTCCATTTCAGTAATAAAACAAATATTTAAAAAAGAATTATAAAAACAGTTAAAGCAATGCAAAGCTTTGGCATCCTTTAAACACTCTCACATCTTTCACACCCCATAGAGATGCAGTGGTGGGTGCATTAATGCCATCCTGTATGATGCCTCTGGAGTGTCCCTCCAGCTCTCCGGTGCCCCCATCAGACTGTTCATCAGCTTCCAGCCCCTGTGAGGCTGAGGGTCCTGCCCTGCCCTCAGAGAGTGAGGAGAGGGTCAGTCCGCACCCCTGGATGGACAGCAAACGAGGAGAGGTGAGGAGTTCTGCCAATTCTTGACTGTATATACATTTTTTTTCATTTTCAGTAATTTTCAGTTTCACTTGACAAAATGCATTTAAAGCCTCATTTTATCATTTTGTTATTGTGTGGTCCAGGTAACCACGTCTGAGGATGCCACTACCCCATCTTCAGCAGTGACCCCTTCTACTGCCTCTGCCTCATCTCGACCCTTCATACCAGTCACAGATGATCCTGGTGCTGCCAGCATCATTGCTGAGACCATGACCAAAACCAAAGAGGTCAGCCACAATTGCTTTCACAAATATTAAACCAGAATGCCACTTTTTTATTTCTTTTTTTATTGAATACATTTTAATAGGGTTTTATTGAAGATGCTTATGAAGTTTATTTTATTATTTATTTACCTATTTTATTTATTAAATAAATGTTTTCATATGTATTTTAATTTTAATTAAATTATTTTTTTATTTATAAAATTTTACTTGCAATATATTCCTAAAATTTGCTTTAATCCTTTTTATTTATATTGATTGATTGATTGATTGATTGATTGATTGATTTTCTTTATTCTGGAAAAAAATCCTTATTTTGTTATGATTTATAGTCCAAGATGCATGTCACGATTAATCTGTCTCTTTGTTTGCTGTAAAGAATTTTTTTGGTCCCATTATTTGACTAAGCAAATAGTTTCATTTATGTTTATTCTTTAAAGTAAGGAACATTATAAAGGAAGAATAACAGAATAGATTATGTAAACTATTGCCTGCAGCTCATAGAAATGTTCATATTGATGTTTGTTCCTGATCATTCAATTGAAATGCATTAAATTAAATCTCTTGTTTAAACGGGAGTGATTTTTACAATGGTCTGGATTTATTTATTGGCACAGGACTCTGAGAACCAGAGTAAAGCCGTGGGTCCAGAGCCACAGTATCTGGATGAGTTCACCAGTCTCCTGATCCCTGATGACACGCGTGTGATGGTGGACCTGTTAAAACTAGCTGTATCTCTGCGCTCTGGTGATAAAGGAAAGGAAGTGCTGTCTGCTGTTCTGTCTGGCATGGGTACAGCCTGCCCACAGGTATGAATTCTTCAATATCTTATTACACTCTTTCCTAATCAATATTGTATATGTTCATTTATGTCTTTGTGTACTCAAGTTCTGGATGTGTGTTTTGACACACAGGTGGCGGATATGCTTCTGGAGCTGTGTGTGACTGAGTTGGAGGACGTGGCGACTGACTGTCAGAGTGGACGGCTTTCCTCTCAACCTGTGGTGGTGGAAAGCAGCCATCCATATATTGACGATACATCCACCAGCGGAACTGTCAAAATACCAGGTTACTTTGTGTTTTTCTGTTTGTTCAGCATCTAAGGAGTCTTCATAACCTCATTAGTGGTGCTCGCCAAAGTGGTGTTGTTACTGATTAGAATAAATCCCTGAACCAACGCATTAAACTTTGGCACAGTTAGGCACATTTTTGCCAAGCCACTTATTTTCTTCAGAAAATATATATATTTTTTATTAATGATTGCAATAAAACAATGTTTTTTTTTTCTTCAAACCTTATCTTATAAGTTTGAAAGCTGTTTTATTTTTGAACATATTTCTAGTTGTAATTAGATGTAATGTTATACACTATTTACAAATTTCCAATGTTTGTGTTGTTGAGCAGAAATGTGTTTAGAGTTTGTTTTTCACAGTAAAACTAAAAAAATAATTTAACATAATTGTGTGAGCTCTATTGTTAATTTAAATGCTTCGTTAATTCAGGAGGGTTTAAACCCCATATGTATAAATTAGGATCAAATTGCCAAGTTACACATCCCTATACACTACAGTTCAAAAATGATTTTAATTTTGAAAAAAAAATTTAAAAAAAGATTTAAAGTTTGTTCAACTCATCAAAGTTGGTTTTTTGTTGAAAAAACATTTGAGTATGGCAAATTTCTGCTTAAGATTTTTTTTTGGGATAGTCACTGGGATTTTTTCTGGAGAAACTGGTTATTTTTTGCAGGGTTCATGATGCATCTGGTTCAGGATTTACTGGTGAATAAAAAATATAGTTTGAACAAAGCTTTACAATATAAAGTAATTGCTGAGATTATCTTGCTACAGGGAGATTAGATGGATACTATTACTTGTAATGTGCATTTATATAGCGCATTTATTGTGTATGGCCATACACCCAAAGCGCTGTACAATTATGTAACATTGTGTAAAATCGTGTTACAACCCTACTCTTTATGAGAAGTGCCATGGGATATTTAATAACCAAAGAGAGTACTTGACACTGGAAAAATTATTACACTAACTTGGTAAGGCGAATCACATCTTAGCCTGGCACACAATGGCCTCTCGTCTTTTCCACCGTGTACCTCCATAGAGGCAGATTTAGCCTTTATGCTGTTTAGGCTAGTTGTTGCTATCTTGCATTCCATAGGATTTGGCAACACATCTGTTTTTATCATTTTAATGTGTCTTTGGTGAATGAAATGATTCGTTTGTTTAATGTGCAATTACTGACTGTGAAAATACTCATTTTAAAGATAATCTGGACATTTTACCATTATTTCAGGTGCTGAGGGTTTGCGGGTTGAGTTTGATCGCCAGTGCTCAACAGAAAGGAGACATGACCCTCTTACCATCATGGATGGAGCCAATAGAATTGTGTCTGTTCGATCAGGTGACATTCTTGTTTTATTTCAGTATTAGTAACTAACTGGACTATTGGGCCACATAACCTTATTTGTGTCTTCTTTTGTAGGTCGTGAGTGGTCTGATTGGTCCAGTGAATTGAGAATTCCAGGAGACGAGCTCAAATGGAAGTTCACCAGTGACGGCTCTGTGAACGGCTGGGGCTGGCGCTTCACAGTCTATCCCATCATGCCTGCGGCTGGTACATCACCTTAATTTGACATCTCTTCATTGTTCATGCTTCATATGTAACATGATATTCTGAAGTGCCTGACCTTTTATTGAATAACCTACAGGTCCTAAAGATCTTCTGTCAGACCGCTGCATTTTGTCTTGCCCTTCAATGGATCTAGTAACATGTCTGCTAGACTTTCGTCTGAACTTTGCCTCAAACCGCAGCATTGTGCCCAGATTAGCAGCCTCACTTGCTGCTTGTGCGCAGCTCAGCGCCTTGGGTAAGAGAAGAACAATTGAAAGAGGAGTTGAACATTTTTTTAACCATATTTACAAATTTGTTGCATTTCAGTAGAATTAACCTTTCTAATATTGATTTATTTATATCAATGCATCACTGAACAAAATACATATTTTTTAGTCACACACATTATATAAACCAGTGCCAAAAAAAGAATAAATATGTTACGTTCACCTTGAATAATATTTATTTTTGTAACCACTGTTATGTTACAGTTACAGTTTAGAGTGTTATCATAGACCAGGGGTGCCCAAACCTTTGCCTATGAAGGACCAAAAACCAAACTTGATTGAGTTTGGTGGGCGGAAGTTAAATATATCATAAAAGCAGCCATGGTTATTTACTAATGTATTATTATTCAAAAACAAATTGAAAAAATACTTTAATTGTATTAATAATGATACTTATTTGTTTACATTTTATAATAAACTATCAATAAAAACAAACACATTTATAACACAATCGTGTTCAATGTTATGCATTGTCCTCTGTCTTCGAGTGACAGCAATTACATTTTTAAAATCTGATTCATGCACAACATTTAATTGAAACATTTCATTTCAGGCATTCGACCCAACTTTCCCAAAGTTCCCATCATTCTAAATCTTTTCTCAGATGGAATGGTGAGCCAAATCAAAGGCTACCACGAGCCAACTTTGACGCGCGCCCTAGTTTGGGCATCTCTGTCATAAACAATGAAATTTTGTAATTGAGATTTGCTACCTAAACTCTCCATTATTTTTTTAATTTCGTAGGTTTAAAAAAAAAACATTTTTACATAAATTTAAAGACTTCTAATGAGTATTATGTTTTGTAAATAAAACATTTATCCTAATTCAAATTGGATATTTTAATTACACCGCAACGAAGCACAATACAATATAATTATTGTTTTTAATAATTTATTAGTAGTAGCAGTAGTTGGGTATAAACTGTTTTGGAAATTTACAAGTAGCGTGAGTTGCGTAATAATATAACTTTTTAAGTAACCAGTTAAGAAATGCATTACTTTTAAAAGTAATAAAATTGAGTTACTTTTTTGAAAATGTAATGCGAGTTACTTAAAAAAATAAATTGCTGATTTAAAATGAGTCACAATGAATCACGCAGTCAGTGAGAGTGTGTTTATTGCTTTGAACGCATTGAAGAAAAGGAGATTGTCTCAATGGACAGTGATTTTACTTGAGACAAATAATACAAAGGTAGCAAACACATTGCTTTAAACTTTTAGTAATCTTTTTATATAGCATGTATAGCTCTGGGGTCAGGAAGTTCTCAGTAATATTATCCTAATATAAATACATGTATATATATTATGTGTCTATTTATAGATAAATTTAGGTGTAAACAGTTCTAAAAAGGAGATCAAGCCTCGGCTTCATTTATGCAAAAGTACCTCAAAAGTAACATAACTCATTACTTACAGGTATGTACCATAAAAAGTAATGCAACTAGATAATTTTTTGGGTAGTAACTCAATATTGTAATGCATTACTTTCAAAAGTAACTTTTTCCAACACTGGCTATAAATGCCTATTTTAGTCTAATATTGCGATCAATTTTTTGGAATTTATTGTGAAATGGTATTTTACATGGTTATTTAGAGCTATGCTTAAATCTAAAATCTGATGATTTCTAATCTACATGTTCTGTCTCTGTCTGCAAAATCAGCGGCTGGCCATCGTATGTGGGCTCTGCAGAGGTTACGCAAGCTCTTAACTACTGAATACGGCCAATCCATTAACATCAACCGCCTCTTAGGAGACACCGAAGGAGAGGCTCGCTCTATGGTTAGACATTTGTTATACATTTTTGTTTTGTTTATACACTTATGTTTAATGGTATAATTAACATATACTTTACTTAATGTTGTGTAGAGTTTTACAGGAAGTGCATTAGCTGCTCTGGTGAAAGGACTTCCTGAGGCATTACAGAGACAGTATGAGTACGAGGAGCCCATAGTTAGGGGTGGCAAACAGTTACTCCACAGCCCGTTCTTCAAGGTACATTTAATTGATTAGTGAATATACTTCATGAGATAAATGTGTTTCCCAGAAATGATGTTATTTTTCTTGTGTTGTTTAGGTGTTGGTGGCGCTGGCGTGTGATCTGGAGTTGGACACTCTTCCATGTTGTGCTGAGACACACAAGTGGGCGTGGTTTCGACGCTATTGCACCGCCTCCAGAGTGTCAGTGGCTCTGGACAAGAGGAGCCCTTTGCCCCGCCCTTTTCTGGATGAGGTAGCAGTTTCTAATCGGGTTTGGAAGTTGAATGTGTTTGGTGTATGTAATGCCCTCCTTCTAAATTTTAGTTCTTAATGCTTCTGAAGTGATGTTTAACAGAGCAAGGACATTTTTTTTTACAGTATTTCCTATCATATAGTACAGTCTTCTTTTACTTGTCTCTTTACAGTTTTTTTTTAAATTTATATAATTTTAATATAAATAATATAATTACAAATATAATTATTATTTTTTGTTTTATGTACATGCATACATTCATACATAATTACATACGAACACATTTATCTATTTATATATACTTTGTTTTATTTTATTACTTTATTTTTATTTTATTTAATAGCAAAGTCAAACTTATTAGCCCCTTAAAAATATATAATTTTCTAAACTGACTACAGAACAAATGTTTTCAAATGAGCTGTTTTGAAAAAACACTGTTTTCAAATGACTTGACTAATTACTCAGACTTTAGTAGTTAACCTAATTACCCTATGTAAAAATTGTATGTACATACAGCTTTTTTACTGTAATGTTTATGTGGTGTTAAAAAATACCAGGTTGTATAACTTTGCATAATATTAGCAACTATTATGTTTGTCAGGTGGCAAAGAAAATCCGTGAGCTGATGGCAGATCATGAGAACATGAACACGCTTCATGAGAGCCATGACTTGTTTAAGAGGGAGCAGGATGAGCAGTTGGTTCAGTGGATGAACAGGTAAAAATGTTTTGCTTGTGCTTTGCTGGCTGAAACGACTCATCTTAAACAATGCAAATGCTATAGGGTTTCATTAACTTTGTTGAAATGTGTTTATGTTTTCTATAGACGACCAGATGATTGGACACTCTCTGCGGGTGGCAGTGGTACAATATACGGCTGGGGGCACAATCACCGGGGTCAGTTAGGTGGCATTGAAGGAGCCAAAGTAAAGGTTCCCACACCAACAGAAGCTCTAGCCACACTGCGGCCAGTTCAGCTTATTGGAGGAGAGCAAACACTGTTTGCCGTCACTGCTGATGGGAAGGTAAGGCTTTTTCTGCATTATGCATCTAAATAAATACTCTGCTTTTTTTGGAAGTAGGCTCATATTATAAGTCTCCTAGAGTTAAACAGTTCAGTTTTAGCACTTTTTTTTATCCGTTCAGCTTATGTTTGAGTCTGGTGGGAGCACTTTTAGCTTAGCATAAGTTATTGAATCTGATTAGACCATAGGTCTCCAACTCGATTCCTGGAGGGCCGCTGCTCTGCACAGTTATGTTCCAACCCCAATCAAACACAGCTGATACAACTAATCAAGGTGTTCAAGACTACTAGAGACTATTAAGCAGCTATGAGTTGGAGGTGGTTGGTGCGGCCGACCAAGAATTGAGTTTGAGATCATTGGGATTAGAACATTAGCATCTTGTTAAAAAATGTAAAACAAAACTATATATATAATGATATAATGAGTCCTCTACTGGGCAACTAGTTACAGCACTGTGTAAAATAATTGTCTAATATCATTGCATAGTATTATTGTGCCATAGTATGGCACTAAAGGTCCTTGATCATTTTGCCAGAATGTAGGTATACTGTAGTTCATAGCCATATGAGTCTGGAAAATTTCAGCTAATCATTTTCCATCTGCCTTAGTATACAATGTAGCTATAGAAGGAAGAATCAAGCTTTAAACTCTAAACTTTGAACCAGATGCTAATGGTCTAATCCGATTCAATAATTTATGCAAAGCTAAGATATACAAGTGCTCCCACCAGACCTGGAAATCTGGTAAATAGATTCAAAAATGGTAAAACTTAACCGTTTAACTCTAGGGAAGCTGTAAAATTAGCATATTTCCAAAAAATACATGTAAAATTTTCAACCAATAATTGACAGCAACTTTGTATGCATATTTTTCTTCTCTGATTAGATCATTAATCAGCCCCTATGATATGTATTCAGCATTTACTCTTCATTATCAGTCACCTTGTCAGATGGGTAATGTCCTTGTCTTTGCTGTCTTCAGCTGTATGCCACAGGATATGGTGCCGGTGGTCGACTGGGAATAGGAGGGACAGAGTCCGTCTCCACTCCGACCCTGCTGGAGTCCATCCAGCATGTTTTCATCAGAAAGGTGGCTGTGAACTCTGGAGGGAAACACTGTTTGGCTCTTTCCTCTGAAGGAGAGCTGTACTCCTGGGGGGAGGCCGAAGATGGAAAACTGGGCCATGGAAACAGAAGGTCAGTTCCGTACTTTGGTTATGATGGTTGTCTTGCCACATAGGCATCTTTGGTTCATCCCAGGCAGTAATCTTTTACATGTTTCAGTGTTTTATTTTTTTCCCATTTTTTACAAAAACAAATAGAAAAGTAGTTTTTGAACTAGTTCTGTGGCTTTTAGGTAAAAAAATTAGCAATTTTTTGAAGTTCTAAATGCTTTTTAAATTGTGAGTTGTTGCAAAAGGTACAAAATGCAAGCACAATGGTGAAACATTCATCAATTTAATGTTACTTTGTTTATTCAAAACATTTAGGTCGACCATTAACAATGCACTGCTACTGTTGTGTTTATACTTTTGTACTAAAAAGTGCAATTTGGCAAATAAATATTAGCCGTTTTTCTATATAGGATGTGTATGAAACAATATTTGCTCTAATGCTATCATATTTTATGCATATTTTTTTAATATGGTTTTAAGCCCATTTGTATTTGTACAATTAGACTTATGACCACTTCATGTGTAGTGCAATCTTTAATCAGGGGGTTTTGTAGGTTTGTAGGAATTTATGCTTTAAGTTGACAATTTTAAACATAAAAAACACACTTTTTTTTTAATCTGTTAGACTTTTTTCCATTTCATCTGTTCCCTAAAGAACCAAACATTGGTTTGACTATCACAACTAGACTATCACGGATTTGTTTTAGTTCAACAGTATGTGTGACTGGTACCTCTGTCTTTTCCTCAGCCCATGTGATCGTCCACGCGTGATTGAGTCTCTCAGAGGGGTGGAAGTGGTGGACATTGCTGCCGGTGGGGCTCACAGTGCCTGCATTACTGCCAGTGGAGAGCTCTACACATGGGGCAAAGGTCGCTATGGGCGCCTGGGTCATGGAGACAGCGAAGACCAACTTAAACCAAAACTGGTCTGTTCATTATGCGTTATTTATTTGGCACAAAACGTAAATTCTTTAGAATTGTTAAAAATATATATAAAAAAATGTATACAAATTAAGTGAAATATAATCAAACAAAGTGAAAAATTACTGCATTTAATCAAAAATAATAGCTGAATATTTTGATTATTTTAATTAATATAGATAATAAATATACAAAAACTTTTTATGAGGATTATTTTTTTTTACTTTTTTTATTCAGTACATTTTTTTTTTCGTATTTGGACAATTATGGGTAATTGTTATGTTTATGAAGGTGAATGGAACCAATAATAATAATATTAATAATAATAGTAATTGTTATTAAAATTTATAAATAATTGTAAACTAACATAACTAGCAGATTGAATAAAATTTAACTGGAATGTTTAGAAAATTGCTGCTTTATGTAATTTTGCATATTAGTGTATAATCTGTGAGTGTCTTGTACAGGTGGAGGCTCTTCAGGGTCACCGGGTGATAGATGTGGCATGTGGCAGTGGAGATGCACAGACCCTCTGTCTGACTGATGATGACATGGTATGGTCGTGGGGCGATGGAGACTATGGCAAATTGGGCCGAGGAGGTAGTGATGGATGTAAAGTGCCGATGAAGGTGAGATGGTGGTGTAGTTAAACATTTTCTGTGTAGGAATTGTAAAGCACATTGGTCAGCTGCTGTTGTTATTGATTGTTATATACCTATGAATTCCTGTATAACTCTTCACATCTCTTTCTTTGCATAGATCGATTCATTAACCGGATTGGGTGTTGTGAAAGTGGAATGTGGCTCTCAGTTTTCTGTGGCCCTTACCAAGTCTGGAGCAGTTTACACATGGTAATCAATCCCATTATTAGAGCTCTGATTATTATTATTATGAACCCAGTCATAAATAGAAATGGGCTGTATAGTGTGCAGTGTCATGGCATATGGTATGTTTTTTTTTATACAGTATGTAAATCAAAACTAGTGCTTATAGACCTTATAAAATATCAAACTGCAAGTGACTATTTAAAATTTTTTGTTTGAGTGAGTGTGAGTGGGTATGCGTGCGTGCGTGCATGCATGCATGTGTGTGGGTGTGTGCATGCGTGCGTGTAAATAAATGATGCAGTTTGGTTTGCCACATGCATACTTGCGCTCATGGTGTAGTCTTACTGTTAAACACATGAACTTTATTCCTGAGCTGAGTCACTTTGTTGGCATTTTAACATTTCCTATGACAAAAGCTATCCCTTTATCGTTTACAGATGGAAGCTCAAACCATTTGCGAGACAACCTATCAAAATAGTTTCAGTTTGTTTTGGTTTAATTTGAAAAATGTAATATTTCAAAGTGTTCCAAATGTTTTTTATTTTTCATAATTTGATGTTAAACTGAGTTTTTTTGTTGTATTTAATTCTACATTTTTTGATGAATAAACTAAAATGAAAAAATCTGAAAAAATAGAATTTGAGGAAAAAAGTAATAAAAATTTTGGAAAAAATAAATAATTTCATAGGACTGTACATAATGCATTGTAACATAAGCTGATGTTATATTTAGTGTGGGTAATTGTACATGTTTGTGTTTTTTAGGGGGAAGGGTGACTATCACAGACTGGGACACGGCTCAGATGATCATGTTCGCAGACCCCGGCAGGTCCAGGGTTTACAAGGCAAAAAGGTCATCGCAATAGCAACTGGTTCCCTTCACTGCGTTTGCTGCACGGAGGACGGTAGGTCATTAGTATGTTTGAATTATGCTGGCCTTTGTCACTTTTTAGGTATTCTGTCTTCTGTTGAACCCAAAACAACATATTCTGGAGAATGTTGGAAACCAGCAGACGTTGACATCCATAGTAGGAAGAAAAAAATACTATGGAAGTCAATGGCTGCTGCTTCCCAACATACTTCAATATATTCTTTATGTTCAACAGAAGAAGGGAAAAAACAACATATTTGGAATAAATGGATGAGTAAATAACAGAATTTACATTTTTGTGTGAAGTGTCCCTTTAATGAGCTACCTTTTTTTTGTTCTCTGAGGTCCACTAATAACATTACATAGTACATTTATACATTCACAATTACTATATATATATATATATATATATATATATATATATATATATATATATATATATATATATTGTATTTGTATATATATTGTATTTGTATAATGTGTGTATATATATATATATATATACACACACACACACACACACACAGTATGATGGGAGCCTCAAAGAGAGCTCAGTAAAGCCAGAGAAGATCTCCTCTGCCTCCAGAGCAGGAGAGGAGCAGAACAGGAAAAGACCAGAGCAAAGTAATTTGTCTCTTTCTTGACCATGTGACCAAAGCCCAAATACTGAGACATACAAACTGACCAATCAACATGTGACCACATCGTTAAACCCCCAAAGTCCACACACCAGGCCCTGATCCTTTCAATATTTGCCTTTGGAGTCAGTATGAACCTTCTTGGTGAAAAATGTTTTGCCATATAAACAAATGCATATGATAATTTTTCATTCCTACAGTACTGTGACCTCTGTTATGTCAAAAGATCAAGGGATCTTTTGGAGATCAAGATCAAATTGAGAATTTCTTTTTGTTTGTATACTTATTTTTGTTTGCTAAAAATGTGCATGTGTACTATGCCACAGGGGAAGTGTACACATGGGGTGACAATGATGAGGGTCAGCTTGGGGACGGTACGACCAATGCTATTCAGAGACCCAGGCTGGTGGCAGCGCTGCAGGGCAAGAAGATTAATCGTGTGGCCTGTGGTTCAGCACATACACTTGCCTGGTCCACTAGTAAACCAACCAATGCTGGAAAACTCCCTGCTCAGGTACTGCACCAACACACATACAACTATAAGATTACAAAAAAATGTCACACAACTAAATATTTTACAGCCTTTTAGGCCTCATAAAATGTTTTACCCTTTTGGTTTAACAGTTGAGGTACAAGAAAATATCTTAAAACTGTGTTATTTTGTTTTGTATTTTTGTAATCCTGTTGTGTATGGAGTAGCATTAGATGTCAGAAATGATTTCAATTATTTATTATTTCGTTAAATATTAACAATTTTTAACAAAAGGATCTAATTTGTGTCAGTCACAAAAAACATATGTATAAAAAAATGTAGCTTTTAATACGATATGATACGATACAAAACAGTACAGTACAATTGAACTTTTAAAAATGAATAAGAACAATATAAGCAGTTTAAGACGCTTTGAACCACAGGACGCAGTACAGTTCAGATTATTGAAAACTTGTATTCCAGAAAGTACAATAAATATTTGTGGTTAATAATGTCATGTCTGTCTGTAGGTTCCAATGGAGTACAACCACCTGCAAGAAATCGCCATCATCGGCCTGAGGAATCGGTTACTGCTACTGCACCACATCTCTGAGCTCTTCTGCCCCTGCATCCCAATGTTTGACTTAGAAGGACGCCTGGGTGAAACTGGACATGGTGTGTCTGTTGGCTTTGACACGCTCCGTGGAATCCTCATATCACAGGGCAAGGTGAGGTTGCAGGTAGCAGTACATGTACTGTTTTCATCCAAATGTTTCTCAATTTTATTACATTTAAAATTGACTAAAATTGAAAAAATTGTGGTTTGATCATAGGGGTAAAATGTGATTTAAATATGACTTTATTTTAAGCGTATTTTAAAATAACATTTAAAGTGACTGTTTATTAATTTGTGAGGTTGCTCTGTAATTCTTAAAAGTTGTTTAGTGTTGTGAAATAAATATTGTTCCAAATATGCCAGGCAAGATTTTATAGGGGTGTGAACCTACACTGGTCTCACGGTTCGGTTTGGTTACGATTATCCTGCCAATTTGGTTCAATTCGATATCTCGGTGCATCATGGTGTATTGACGTTGCTTTCCATACACAATTAGATTTTTTCTTTACAACACAACAAAAAAATTGTATCAAAACCTATAAATATGTTTAGATATTATTTGTAATACAATTTTGTCCTTTAATACAAGCAGTCAGATATATAAACTTACTTGTTCAAAGAATTTTTTTTGGAGTGTTTTAGACAAAACTCCTATGCATGCATAGAAAAAAACATGAGCATTTATAGCATAAAAAACTAATGTAAATATTATCCCCTTTTCTTTTTGTGCGCTTTTGAGCAAGTTCTTATACTCCTATGATATCAGAGAAATGGCATCAGTACATAACAACTGGTTATGATCTATTACTGAATCGATATCGAATTGTCCCAATCTGTATTACAGTGCACTGAAGAAACAATTAATTTTGACACCTCTAAGATTTTGGTTAATGTTATTACACAGAATTTGTTTTTATTAGGAGCCTTCTGTAAATCGTGGGTTGGATTTACACTGCAGATCTTGATGGTCAATTTCGATTTTGTGACTATGATTTTTATGACAGATTTTTCTTGATGACACGCCTGCATCATCTTTTAAAAGTGACTCGTATCTGATGGTCTGCATTTACTCGGCACCAGGAAAAAGGCGTAATGAGCAGGAAAATATGAGCGGGCGCTGACTGACTGCTTATAATAAAAAAAGCGCTCTTTTTTCCATTTCTGTATTTAATCTGTTCGCAGGATTTCATTTTTTTTCTTTTCTTTTTGATGAGTTGTTTTGCTAGTTAATGACAGAAAAGTTATAATTTGTCCATGTTCTATTAATTGAGGCTTTTTTAAACCCGTAAGAATTTTGATGTCTTGGCCATAGCGTGATTTAGACACATTTTGTATGCAATAGTTTTACATTAGTTTATATTGTTTAAATGGTGGATGTTGTGCTTGCTCTCTTGTTAGCATCCTTAAATACTTATGCTACATGACAGTATTAAAGCTTTTTTAATCCTACTATATAAGATGTAAGGTTTGAGACTGCTTACATGAAATGTCTGTTCTGAAATGAAAGCTTCAGAGTTGAATCATTCACTACAGTTTTTCTTGACGCTCGACTCGATAATGAAAATCCGATCTACCTGCTTACACTGCAGACACAAGGGCACGAATCCGATTTATATTGAATAAATTTCCACATGTGAACAAGGGCTGAATCTGATTTGTGTAAATCGGTATCCTTGTGATTTTTTATTTTTGCTTACATGTACATGGACCATATCCGATCTGAGACGTATGAGAGAAAAAAATCGTAATGGGTCACTTGAACCATGCAGTATAAATGCAGCCATGACGTTGTTTTGATACTTAAACCGTTCATTTTTGATCAGTGTGTGTTACAGTATATGTCTTTCTTATCAAAATGTTTAATTATATTTATTTTGTCTTGTTTTTTAATCGTCTATAGGAGGCAGCATTCCGCAAAGTGGTGCAGGCTACCATGGTCAGAGACAGGCAGCATGGGCCAGTGGTTGAGCTGAACAGGATACAGGTGTGAATTTAACAGAATGCAGCTATATCCTAATTTATACTCCAAAACAAACCTTCATTAATTTTCCTTTGGCTTAGTCTCTGATTTATCAGAGGTTGCCACAGCAGAATGAACCGCCAACTATTCCAGCATATGTTTTACGCATCGGATGACTTTCCAGCCGCAACACAGTACTGGGAAACATAGGACAGTCTCAAACACACACTCATACACTACATCCAGTTCATACAATTCACCTATACTGCATGTCTTTGGACTGTGGGGGAAACCGGAGCACCCAGAGGAAACCCACGTGAACACGGGGAGAGCATGAAAACTCCACACAGAAATGCCAACTGACCCAGCTGGGTCTCAAACCAGTGACTCTCTTGCTGTGAGGCGACAGTGCTAACCACTGAGCTACCATGCCATCCCATTAAACCTATTATCAGACTTCATATACATATTATTTACTCACCCCTAGATTTTTACTTGTATTTTCCTATTGGTTTGAGAGCTGATTATTATGGTAAGCAGAATTCAAAATGAACAATTAATTTTAATGGGCAAAAATAGCTTGCAGGTCCTCTGGAAAATGGTCCCCCTTTCCCTAATCACCATAATTAGCAATGCTCTTCCTGCTCCTTCCTGTCAGCATGGACACACATGTACTGTGTACACAGTTTAATTATCAGCCTCCATTTTATTTTACTTACCATTTTGAGCCAGACTTTGCAGCAACAAATGTGATATTTTCAGTGATGCGTTCATGAAATTTAAAATTAGTGTACAAGTTATTTATGGATCTGCTCGTCATGTGGTTTACCTCCAAATACATATCTTTATGGGTCATTGGCCTCCTAATAGAGGCCCCTTTCAGTCTGGGATTTGGCAGGGAGGCATAAACAATGAATTTCTTCAGTAGTTCATAAAAAAATTGATGTATATGGAGATTAATTAAACCCCTGTCATTTTCATTTCAGGTCAAGCGTTCACGTAGTAAAGGAGGTCTGGCAGGGCCGGATGGCACCAAGTCAGTATTTGGGCAGATGTGTGCTAAGATGAGTTCTTTCAGTCCAGACAGTCTGCTGCTGCCACACCGCGTCTGGAAGGTCAAGTTTGTGGGTGAGTGTATAATTAGGCTCTGTTTGCATTTAGTGTATTTATATTTTAACATGGTGTTTTAAAATGTAAACAGTTTGTTGTCTATATTACTGTTTCCACTACATTTTACAAAGAAAATGTCACATGTCAGAAGGTAAAAGCAGCCATAAAATTATAACAATTGTAGCCTGTATAGAGTTATTAAATGAAGCAAATTATAATTGCATTCATGTGTTGAGAAGAGAAAAAGAAGTTTTAAGTTGGAAGCACATTTTTAAAATGTTACCTTTTTCAGAACAGACCAAAATATGTATGATGTAAAATCATAATACAAAACTGTATACACAGGTTAAGAAGTGAAACCTAGATTATAGAAGTATTTGTTATTCATAAAACGTTTTCTATATACTTATACTAGATTGCCAAGTTAGCAATGCTATGATATTTTAATGTGGAAACAAGAGAACATGCTGTAGAACTGTATTCAATTACTGCATATATATAATATTAATGCAAAAAACAGACTTTTTGGTTTGTTTCTAATCCAAATATATACATTTCAACAACGAACAAGACAGAAACGAGACAAAGTGAGAAAAGCATGTATCAAATACTGTTAGACTCCATAGAAAACCATCAAATAGTGTCTTATAAAACTGTATACTATATCACTATATTTATCGCAGAATATTTATTTATCGCAATATTACATTTTGGTCCAATATCGTGCAGCCCTGGTACGTATTTTCACCAATGTTTTTATTGACATTATTATTAACGTACGAGCGGGTGCAGCCATTGGAATCTTTTTGGCTTGAGACTTCCGGTGTCGTTCACTTCTGTTGATTTTCAGATGTTAAAAACAGCTCATGATGCTACTTGATGTTGCAAATTGATTATTTAAATTTTTATATTTAGTCATGAACACATTTGTTTGTAGAGCGAGTAGCTTGATCGTTTTCTGCCGTTTATTATTCCTAGTCATTTCTCCTATAGGAAACTGATTCAAAAGTTCTAAAACAATCACAATAACAGGATCAGTTATGCAGAAAAAGATCAATAATCTTTTGCGGTCACAAATATGAAACAAAACAAATCAGCCTAATGGTCATATAACAGGGGTTTGAAAAATCAGGAAAACAAACGCAATGATCACAATGATTGATACGCAAAGGCCTAATCATTGAGTGAATGTGGGCAGCGACACAATCATATTCAGAAGTTTTGGTTTGTTTACTCAAACACAGAAACTGAAATCCCACAATTCAAAAACTAAAACACGGTCTGCAGCTTTTCTGAAAGTCTCTGTTATTGAAGGTCGAAAACTCTGCAGTATTATGGAGTCTAGAACAAAAAAGCACAGCTGTAAACCCAGCCTTGCGGATGGAGGATTTTACATTAGAGAAAGAGGATGTTTATCATGTTTTTGTGTGTTTTTTTTTTTTTTTTTAGGTGAGTCGGTGGATGACTGTGGTGGCGGATACAGTGAATCTATCGCAGAAATGTGCGAGGAGCTTCAGAATGGCCTCACTCCTCTGCTCATCGTCACTCCTAATGGCAGAGACGAGTCAGGAGCGAACAGAGATTGCTTTCTGCTCAACCCAGCTGCCAAATCCCCTCTGCACATCAGCATGTTCCGCTTCCTAGGTACCAGCTGCACTCAAAACACTTTCAAGGCAGTCTGGAGTTACACAGCTGCAGTACTTTCTTCTGTCAGATTTGGCAGTAGAGCATGCTCTGTTCTTGTATTTGTGTTTAGGGGTGCTCCTGGGCATAGCGATCCGAACAGGAAGTCCTCTTAGTCTGTATCTGGCCGAACCTGTGTGGAAACAGCTGGCAGGCATGAACCTGACCATTGCTGATCTCAGTGAGGTAAGACTGAATGTGTGTGTTTGAATCCAAAGTTATTCTATTATTGTTAACAAAATTAACATTTTAAAGGCATGCATTTAACTAAATTAAAAATACAATAGGTAGCATATTTACACTTTAATGGGTTTATTCAAATTTAATTATTTGGTCTGATTTTAGTTTTTAGACTGGATTAACAAAATGACAAAGCATTAAATGAAAAAATTCAACGTAACTGCATTGGTTTGGTTTGTTAGGGTTAACTAGGTTAGGACTGGTTTTGTCTTATTTTATCCTAGATTTAAAATTTTAGAATTTGTAGCACATCAGGGTGTCCTGAGTTCGGGTTCTGTCTGTCTGTCTGTCTGTCTAATGTTTTGTCTTATCGTTCTGTCTGACGCTCTTTCCATTGTTCTGTCTGTCGTTTTGTCTACCGTTCTATCTGTCTAACGTTTTGTCTGTCATTCTGTCTGTCATTCTGTCTGTCTGCCTGTCTGTCTAATGTTTTGTCTTGTCGATCTGTCTGTTGTTGTGTCTGTTATTTTGTTTACCATTCTATCTGTCTGTCTGTTTAACGTTTTGTCTTATCCTTCTGTCTGATGTTCTTTCTTATCGTTCTGTCTGTCGTTTTGTCTACCATTCTATCCGTTTGTCCCTGTCTAACGTTTTGTCTGTCGTTAGAAATTATCTATCTATCTATCTATCTATCTATCTATCTATCTATCTATCTATCTATCTATCTGTCTGTCTGTCTGTCTGTCTGTCTGTCTGTCTGTCTGTCTGTCTGTCTGTCTGTCTGTCTGTCTGTCTGTCTGTCTGTCTGTCTGTCTGTCTGTCTATCTATCTATCATCTTTCTATCTATCCATCCATCCACTTTTGTTTAGTTAAGTTTAATTAGGTTATGTACATGTATTCATTCATACATGCATACAAACAGGGCCAGACAATAGCAACAACAACAAAAAACTTTTGCGAGGTGATAAAATAAATGGGGCTTTTAGGTTATAGCACCAGGGCTCAATATGTTCCTAATCTGGCCCTGCGTACACACTCACATGCACACAAACACACACAGTTTAATGTTCATTTCAGATAAATTTGTTTTGAAGATAACTTCAAAATCAAAATTTGTGTTGGGACAACATGAATTGGTGAATTGTGTGTAATCTTGCATTTTTTACAGTGTAGTAGTGCAACTTCTGAATTTAGTTTGCTTGCATTTGGTTAACTTTTAATTTGTTGTGATTGGTATGCTGAAAGTATGTCTGTAGTTGTAGCTTTTTATTTCTAAGTCCATTATGTAAACGCACTGAATGTAAGTACATACCTTTTACATTCTGTACATTTGCCCTGATCAGTAAGTATCAGTGGTCAGCTGATACATACTGATACATACAACGGTATTAAACCCACCGCTCTTAATGCACATGTACTATAAGCAGCTTTCTCTAAATCTATGTGGTATGTATATGCTACAGTAATACATCAAAGTTCTACATATGTATTTTTTTTTATTATTGAATGATCTCTGAGATGTACTTTCTGAGATCCAAGTGTGTGCATCATGCACGTGTGATGTGTAAAGACGAATGTAAGTGAGCATATGGGTCTCCTGCATTCACGCTGGGATCATGTGTTGTTGCAGTGATGGCGTTTCTCAGTACAGGACCTTTCTTGCGCACAGAGCTGCTGTTGTTTGTGCTTTTGCCTGGAGATATCAGAAAGGTTAAAGAGAAAGATTACCAAGCACAAGACAACAGTGAGACGCTGACCGTGATGCACTTAAAACACACGCTCATTCCTTTCATTCTTTAATACTATAACCATTCACACAGATTCAGTTTAATTTACGCACATTTGCTGACCAAATCTCGCATGTGTATAAATCAAAACATATGAGTCCAGTTAAAATTTGTACCTGAATGTAAATTGTGTCCCACTTGCATTTAAATATGCTGCTGTTCAGTTTTGGGGTTAGTATAAGGTCTTTAGTAAGTTGATAATTATCTGATAATCTCCAAGAATGTATTTCTTTAATGATTAGATTTTTTTTTAATTTTGATATTTTATTATCTTTTTTTAATATTCTTTTCTCTGTTTTTACATATTTTAATATGCAATTTATTTCTGTAATATTGAAGCTAAATCTTTTGCAATGAGCCTTCAAATAGCATTCTAATATGCTGTTATTACTATGTTGATGCTTTTAGTTTAATGTTTTTTTGTTTTATTTTTATTTAATTGATTTAATATTGCTAGTATTTTTTTGTTTGAATGTTATTTTATTTTATTTAGTTTTGTTTAGTTTTATTTTGTTTTTTGTTTTGTTTTTGTTTAGTTTTTTCTGGAATTCACATTATTGTACACCTTTTTCTTTTATGTGTTAGGTGGACAAGGACTTCATCCCCGGTCTGATGTATATTAGAGATAACGAGGCGTCTGCGGAGGAGTTTGAGGCGATGCCTCTTCCCTTCACTGTGCCCAGTGCCTGCGGACAAGAAGTCCAGCTCAGCTCCAAACATTCCCACATCAGCCTTGAAAACCGCAGTGAATATGTGCGGCTAGCAATAAATTACAGGTGGGATTGCTAGGGAAAAAGGTTCTTTTAACCCATTTTGAGTAAAGATATACAATATTTGAAAGATTGAATGACCAATAATAACTTTTTAATGCAAGTATTGGGATAAGGCCAGTATGGAAAATTATGGCAATATGCCTTGCCAATAAAATGTGTGGATAAACTTGCAGCAACTTTCCTGGCGGCCAGTAGTGCTAGCAAGAAGTGATGAGTCTGTTTGTTTACACTTTTTTCATAAAGGATCTTTGTTACAGTGTAACTATTCTTTTAACTACCGAGTTATAATAATGAATTACATACAATTTCTCTATGGTTAAGATTTGAATACAGATTAGGTTTAGGGTTAGTTGCATGTTATTTTGCATAATTAATTGTAATTGCTACACCAAATACATGTAGCATATGTAACAATTTCACCTTAAAACATAGTTTTATTTAAAGTAAAAACCAGAATCTGTGACTAAAAAGAGACAGATTTTGTGAGGGCCACCAATCACAGATATCTGCTCTGTTAATAGTTTTCGTCACGGTATCCTCCCCATGGGCTCTAGTGTCTGTCCGATAAAAATAAAAACTGTTTAGGCATAGGATGATAACTGCTTTTCAAGGTTTGAAAAAGTATTGGTTTTAAAACTGCTAACATTTTTTTTTATATTTTTTCTATTGTATTCCTACTGTATGTAATTTTTTAACATGTTTTATTTAGTGTTTTAGCGGAAAAGTATCTCCAACAAGCATCCACATCAAAAGCTCACAATTCAGCAAACCTTTAAAAAACAAACCACTTGCAGACCAACATCTAAGCATGCTATAGACCTCAACAGTGCAGTGACTTCCTTATCTATCCAGAGAAAAGAAAGATATACAAAGATGCCTTTTTAAAATTGTAAAGAAACCGGTGTCTTTGAAACGTTTTTGAAGAAAATGATAGCAGAAGTCAATGATTTATTTAAATGATTTAGCCAGACATGTTTACTCTTTTAAAATATTTCTTAAAATAAAATATATTGTGTTCAATACAAAAATTTCGTTTTTTGTCCAACCAATTTAAAAAGAACATGTTTTAGAGCAGGGCGACGTGGTGGCGCAGTGTGTAGCGATTTCGCCTCACAGCAAAAAGGTCACTGGTTCGAGCCTCACCTGGGTCAGTTGGCATTTCTATGTGGAGTTTGCATGTTTCCCCCACAAGTCCAAAGATGTGGTACAGCTTAATTGGGTAGGCTAAATTGTCCGTAGTGTATGTGTGAATAACTGTGGATGAATGTTTTCTAATGGTGGGTTGCAGCTGGAAGGGCATCCGCTGCCTAAAACATATGCTAAAAAAGTTGGCAGTTCATTCTGCTGTGGCGACCCCTGATTAATAAAGGGACTAAGCTGGAAAGAAAATGAATGAATGAACATTCTTTGAGCGGTAATCACAATACTGTGAAACTGTGATATTTTTATTCAAGTTTTCATACCGTCAGAATCTTAAGCTCATGCCTAATACTGCTATAATAATTAAAGTAAAATGCAAAAATATTAAGTTTAATGGAACATTGGCTGATGTCATAAATCACAAGTCTGACGCTTTCATTTATTAACATTTATGTATAAATATTTTCACAAACAAACAAGCCTTCCAAGCAAAATAGAAATCAGTATCAGCATTAATATCAGCTATAATTCAGCTCATTAGATATCAGCAAAAATCCAGTATCTTGAATCGCTTATTTTAAGGAAAGAGACTTTTAAGGAAAGAACAAAGTAAAGCTTACCGGTATGATGTTGTTTTCTTCCTCCAGGCTGCATGAGTTTGATGAGCAGGTGTCTGCTGTAAGAGAAGGTATGGCGCGTGTGGTTCCGGTACCGCTCCTCTCTCTATTTACCGGCTATGAGCTGGAGACCATGGTGAGGACATGAGAAACATAAACAAACAATGAACAGTATGTGTTCATGAATGCTAAGTAGACCTGACTCACTTGTTTGTGTTGTTCAGGTGTGCGGAAGTCCGGACATCCCTCTGCATCTGCTCAAATCAGTGGCCACATATAAAGGAGTAGAGCCCACTGCACCGCTCATCCAGTGGTTCTGGGAGGTGATGGAGTCTTTCTCTAACACAGAACGCTCGCTCTTCCTCAGGTTCGTCTGGGGCCGCACGCGTCTTCCCAGGACCATCGCAGACTTCCGTGGACGAGACTTTGTAGTGCAGGTAACTATTGTCTCTTGAGGCAACAATTCTCACAGTTACATCTACAGGTCTCCATTAAAATCTGCTCAATGATTGCACACTCATTTAACTCTTTAAATATGTAGTTAATATGTAGTAAGTATGTAGTAAGTATGGCTGTGCGATATTGGAAAAATCTGACATTGCAATATTTTCCTTTACTGAGCATAGATTATAATAAATTGCTCCAGTTTACACCACAGTCCAAAGACATGCGCTTTACAGTAGGTGAATTGGGTGAGCTAAATTGGCCGTAGTGTATGTATGTGAATGAGTGTGTATGGATGTTTCCCAGTACAGGGTTTCAGGATGAAACGTTCCACTGTGTAAAACGTATGTTGGATAAGTTGGCGGTTCATTCCACTGTGGCGACCCCTGATAAATAAAGGGAATAAGCCGAGGGAAAATATTTGCTTGTTTTAAGACATTATTTAAGTATCATTCAAGTAATTAGAATAGTTTTTAATGAGGTAAGTAAAAATCCTTACTGTTTAGCCCTGTATAAGTCTGAAATTTCATTCATGATGGTCTTAAAAAGTCTTAAATTTACCTTTGTAAAACCTGCAGAAACCCTGACTTTTTTGAAAATAGGTTTATTTAGCAGGTCGCATAGAGTTAAACCATTTGACATTTTTGAATCTATTCAGCCGATCGCTGCGTCTGGCCTCCCGCTTACCTTAGCTTAGCATAGATTATTGAATCAAATTAGACCATTAGCATCTTGCTTAAAAGTGACTAAAGAGTTTCAATAATTTTCTTATTGACTTTACTGTAGTTAAATTGTGCACCACGCCTGACAAAATTGTTATTTTCTAGCCAGATATGCTAAGAACTAAACTCTTATTCTGGTGTAATAATAATATATAAAAAAAACAACTGCCTGCTTCAATCATGGTATGGTAGCAATGATGTTATGAATTCTAAAAAAAAAAAGCATCCAAACTTTTAACTGGCTCTGTAAATGGATAGATACAATGCCCCATTTTGAAAATGAGTAGTTTTATCCATTTCTCAGTGAATATAGGCAATGTTTTTGGTACATTTAAACAAAACAGATTTGTTAAGCGGATATATATATTTATTCAAAAAATATTTTAGTTACCAAACATTATTAGAAATAGAAAGATCATACAGTTAAATTCAAGCAAAATAATGCAAAAAAAAAAATTCAACCTACAAAATTATTACATTATCATTTTTTTTGCTTCTTTTTCCTCTTTTTTTTTTTTTAAATATTTTTCTCTAAAATAAATTTGGGTGCACTAGTTTTTAGTGCGTTATCGTAAGATATTTTGTTTGCAAAGCTCCAGATTTGGCTTCAGTACTGACTAATCATAATGTATATGCACAAATCTAATATTGTATAGCTTCCTATTAAAATATGAATTTAAAAGAGAAATTTATGAGAGGTGTACTAATATATGCTGCGCACTGTAAATATAAGTGCTCATTTTTAGAGTTTATGCCCTTTTTTTTTGACCAGGTGCTGGATAAATATAACCCTCCCGACCACTTCCTCCCCGAGTCCTACACCTGCTTCTTCCTGCTCAAGCTGCCTCGCTACTCCTGCAAGCTAGTCTTGGAGGAGAAACTCAAATACGCCATTCACTTCTGCAAGTCCATCGACACTGATGACTACGCACGGATCGCTCTGAGCGGAGAACCGGCCGCAGACGACAGCAGTGATGACTCGGACAATGAAGACGCAGACTCATTCGCTTCTGACTCCACACAGGATTACCTGACAGGCCACTGAGCTCATAAGTTCACACACACAGGCAAACACTCACACACAGGCATATGCTGTGGTAAGTTGTAGGAAACCTAAAAATAAGCTGACAAGCAGAAAAAGAAGTAAACTGAACCGAAGATGTCTGTTTTAACCTCACTTATTAATATGTGCATAGACACAAATACAACTAAATGAAGAGAATTAAGTGTATATCATTATGTGCAATTAGCTTTAAAACACCATTAAAGCAAAATAGATTTTTTTTTCCTTTTTTAAAACTTTATTGTGAAGAAAACCAGAACAACGGGAGAAAAATACACACCTTTTTGTGTTAAACATTGTGTTCATGTTTTCTTCCAGAGGACTGACCGCTTAGCCTAGCACTGTGGTAGACGATTCCTGACAGGCGTCTCAGTGAAGAGCTTCACATCCGTTTTGTGTTCAATAGAGGTAGTATTATCATTTCACCATTGCCTCTTTATTTGAAAACAGCAGTGTTTCTTTGAAAAAAATCTTTTAAACTTGGAGAATTATCTTTTTTTTTTGTCTTTCAGTCAGTGAAGCCTGATCAGGGGTTGCTTTTTAGGTTGTCGGTCAACATTTCCTCTCCTTTTTCTCCCAATGTGTCTGCACTGTTTTCCTTATGGAATGTATATAATTTGATTGTGCCATGTGTTTATGAGAGGTCTCATTCCCATGTTATAAATAAATGTTCATTTCTGTTAATAAATTTAAACCAAATTGTTCTTGTAAGATTTTTTATTATTATTCTTTGCTTTGGAACCAAATCTTCTTCTGATGTTATGTTTTAGTTTTTTTGTGTAGAGTATACACTCAACAGCCACTTTATTAGGTACACGTTACTTTTGCCTTCAGAACTGCCTTAATCCTCCATGGCATAGATTTAACAGGGTACTGGAAATATTCCTCTGGGATTTTGGTCTGTATTGACATGATGCATCACGCAGTTGCTGCAGATTTGTCGGCTGCACATCCATGATGCGAGTCTCACATCCCACCACATCCCAAAGGTGCTCTATTGTATTCAGCTCTGGTGACTATGGAGGCCATTTGAGTACAGTGAACTCATTGTCATGTTTGAGAAACCAGTCTGAGATGATTCACACTTTATGACATGGTGTGTTATCCTGCTGGAAGTAGCCATCAGAGGATCGGTACACTGTCATCATAAAGGAATGGACATGGTCAGCAACAATACTTGGGTAGGCTGTGGATTTCACAAGATGTTTAATTGGTACTAATGGTCCCAAAGTGTGCCAAGAAAATATCCCACACACCATTATACCACCATCACCAGCCTGAACCGTTAATACAAGGCAGAATGGATTCATGCTTTCATGTTGTTGATGCCAAATTCTGACCCTACCATCCAAATGTCGCAGCAGAAATGGAGACTCATCAGACCAAGCAACGTTTTTCCAATCTCCTATTGTCCAATTTTAGTGGACAATAATTCATTTTAGCCTATGCAAATTGTAGCCTCAGTTTCCTGTTCTTAGCTGACAGGAGTGGCACTCGTGATTTTCTGCTGATGTTGCCCATCCGCCTCAAGGTTCGATGTGTTTTGCTTTCAGAGATGCTCATCTGCGTACCTCGATTGTAACAAGTGCTTATTTGAGTTACTTTTGACTTTCTATTAGCTGGAACCATTCTCCTCTGACCTCTGGCATCAAGACATTTGCGCCCACAGAACTGCCGCTCACTTGATATATTAACTTTTTCGGATCATTCTCTGTAAACCCCAGAGATGGTTGTGTATGAAACTCCCAGTAGATCAGCACTTTCTGAAATACTCAGACCACCCTGTCTGGCAATAACAACCATTCCACATTCAAAGTTACTTAAATCACCTTTCTTCCCAATTCTGATGCTCTGTTTGATCTCCAGCAGATCCTCTTGACCATGTCTACATGCCTAAATGCATTGAGTTGCTGCCATGTTATTGGCTGATTAGAAATGTGCATTAACAAGCAGTTGGACAGGTTTACCTAATAAAGTGGCTGGTTATTGTGTATTGCACCAAAGAAAATGAAGCTGAATATTGTTAGAACTATTGTCAGTAACTTGTTCATTTTAAGGTCTTTTTAATTTGCAAATACAATGTGTAATTGCCATATAAATTATTATTAACAACTAATAATACGATTTTAGAGAGAGACAGAGAGAGAAATTACTCAATAGCAAAGCAGTTGGCAATAAAACAAAAAAGTTGATCTGAACATCTGTATGTTAAACTATTTTTAAAGTATATTTAAAGTATACATTGTGGACTATAATAATCTGATCTTTGAAGGATCTGATATTATTTGCTTTCAGTATTTACACTGGGAGAGAGTAATAGTAATAATTTTAAAAGTCATGATTTCTTAAAATAGATTTTTCTACATTTTTGAAATTCACAAATAGGTTTGCTTTTGTTTCAGGTAAACTCTTTTTGGTCTCAATCTGCTTTGGCTTTGGTCTTGTGTGGGATTTTCAGACCCTTTCAGACACATTCCATTGAAACACTAGCATAAACGGTTTAATAAAATCCCCATAATGACCCACACCACTCACACTGGCTTATGCTTATGGGGCACTTCCAGCCTTTCCAGCCGTCACGTGCAGCCAGAAGAAAGTCAAATGATCTTTACTCATGATTTGGCTGAGCCATCGAGCTTGACATACCTCACTCATCACAAGCTTTTTTTTTTTTTTAATGGGGTGGCTGTAGTAAAGCTGAGGGGTCAGAGGTCAAACCGTAAACCCGCCTCCATCTTCTGTCTACGTCAAAGAGTGATGTAGGCAATAGAGATGAAAGGATATTAGGGGAGCATGACGGAGAAAAAAAAGAGGAGGGAAAATGATTTATGATGGCTTAGAAATCTGGAGCATTCTTCACCGTCTTAATGCTTTTTTCTTTCTTTCATAAGCAGAAATCACAGAGCGCATTATGCTGGAGCGGGTCAGGTGCTCTGCTCATGTCAGTTTGGCTCCAGGCAGGCAGAAGAAATCAAGCAGGGCTGTAAAACTGTACTTCCTTTAGAACGCAGCGGCAGCAAGGTCTGACTACTGTACACTCTTTTAAAATAAGAAAAGCTAAGTATTTGTATTGAACGAGTTTCGGTTTGGAAAACATTGACATTTTGTTAGAGTTTGATTCATGATTTATTCACATTAATGACATCAGTATTTTAATACATTCATTCATTCCTTCAATTTCTTTTCGGCTTAGTCCCATTATTTATCAGGTGTCGCCAGCGGAATGAACCGCAAACTTATCCAACATGTGTTTAACGCAGCGGATGATTTTCCAGCCGCGACCCAACACTGGGAAACGCCCATATACTCTTGCATTCACACACGTATACAATGGCCAATTTAGCGGGGACTCGAACCAGCGCACATCTTGCTGTGGGGCGATCATGCTACCCACTGCGCCAACATCAACATGACCCCTATACTAAAACATAAGGTTTAATATGGAGTTGACCCATGCTTAAGCAGGGTGCTCACGGATCCTTAAAATGTTTTAAATTCCATATTATATAAATAAAGCCATAATTAGACTTAATGTCTTAAATCCAATTTTCAAGGCTCTTAAATATGCTACCGAACTGACCCATTTAAGAAGATTTTGTTTCTGTATTGAAATCTATTTAAAGTCTCTTTATCAATCTTTTTCTCACCTATAATGAAATGGGTGGAACCCAATTAAATACGAAGAACCATGGGGAAGTTTTTAGTGTAATTTAATGAAAACCAGTTACACAAGCCTAACTTTGCACAGTGCTTAAGAGCTGTTAGGGGCAATGTGTTTGAGGTTTGGTGGATTTTGTGCAAAAAATGTTTTATAAGCTCACATACTGTGTGGAAAAAAAAACTCAAAACAGCTGAGGAAACCTGTCGGAAAAAACCCCAACAGTTCTAAAATCTGCTGCATCTTGCCCACAACAGTAATATTAGGCCTACCGCAGACTGCATCCTGATTATTATTATTATTAGTTATTATTAGTTTAAAGATATTTATAATAAAGAGTGTTAAGGATGGGAATTAATTGTTGCATGCTTTTTTTGCGAATTCGTTACTATAAAATTGGTCTTAAATTTAATTCTGTGTGACATTATAAAGCTCTTAAAAAGTCTTGAATATACAGTAGCTCTTAAAACCTGCAGATACTCTGTTAGGAGTTATAACAGCTTCAATTGTTCTGGAAATTCATTCATTCATTTTCCTTCGGCTTAGTCCCTTTATTTATTAGAGGTAGCCACAGCAGAATGAACCTCTAACTTATCCAGCTTATGTTTTAAACAGCGGATGTCCTTCCAGCTGCAACCCAGTTCTGGGAAACACCCATACACTCTCACATTCACACACAGACATACCACAGCCAATTTAGTTTATTCAATTCACCTAAAGCGCAACTGTGGGGGAAACTGGAGCACCCGAAGATGCGATCACTGGGAGAACATGCAAACTCCACACAGAAACACCAACTGACCCTTCTGGGAGTCATCCACTTGCTGTGAGGCGACAGTGCTAACCACTGAGCCCCTGTTCTGGAAATGCTTTCCACAAAGTTTGGAAGTTTATATGAATTTTTGACCGTTCTTCTACATGTGCCCTTTTATGTGGCCTTTTAAGGTCAGATAGTGATGGTGGAGAAGGTTTGAGGGCTCCTCTCCAAAATTGTTTTATTGGGTTAAGGTCAGGACTCTTTGCAGAGCAGTCAAATTCCTCCACACCAAACTCACTTATCCATGTCTTTATGGACCTCTATTTTTGCACTGTTATGCAGTAGGAAGGAATCATCCTAAAAGTGTTTCCAGAAAAGTTAAGAGCATAAAATTCTCCAAGATGTATTGGTATGCCAAAGCATTAGGCTTTTCTTTGAGTGGAACCAAAGGGTCAAATACACCCCCTCCACCAAACATTTTTTTGGCAGAATCCACTAAGGCAAGTATTGTTCTCCTGTCTCCTCACACAGGACATTACTCGACTCTCAGACCAGGGCTTCCCAAACTTTTCAGCTCGCGACCCCCAAAGTAACAATTCCAGTGACTTGCGACCCCAAAATCTTTAGAGGTGGTTATAAATATACAAACATTGCACACAACAACAGGCCTATATAAACACAACTATATTGACAACACAAAAAAAGTGCAACAGCCGAACTTACCACATCAATTTTTTTGTCATTTATTAATTTGTTTAATATTAACTTCATTTAAAAACACTGGTGGACACAATATTGGTTTACATTTGGAGACTCTCATTCAGAGATCATCCTCAATGGTTAGTTCTGGCCTGTATTCATTTTAATGTATTTGATTGATATAAAGGTGTCAGAAAATTAAACCTGGCGCTATAAAATCAATCTCCTGCAGCTGACGCTATTGCTGTGTTGTTAATCTAACGTAAACACACCGATCCTGTGAAAAAATAATTGAAAGGCTGATGGCTTTTTGTTTGCATGACGTTGTTTTTTTTTTTACGTAACTATAAACTACTATTTTTATCTTCTGTGGTTTGTGGTTAAAATATGCTCATTCTAATAGGTTTATTCAAATTTATTCGACTTTTAGAAACCACCAAGCGACCCCCAATTTTGGAACCACTGTCTCAGAGGACAACACTAGGACATCATAGTTTCACAAAACACGTACTGTGTCATCTCTCGCACTGCTCTGCTGTGATCTTGACCTGTTTTTGGTCAGTCTTTTTTAATTTTCTAATGTCTGAAAGTGTCCTAATTTTGATCAGTGTGCTTTTTCACTCCTTTTAGGCTTTCTTCTTGGAATCTATGCAACTCGTATAGTAATGCTCAGAAACCACCGATCTTTTACTTCTGCCAACTTCAAATAGGATTAAGACCTCTAATGTTTTTTTCCACTGTTTGAATATATAAAGATATATACAGAACATTGATGCTGAAAATCTTTGCCTCTCATAGTCAGTGAAAACACATACAGAATCCTCCACTCTTATATTTGATATTGAAATGCAGCTTTAATCTTAGTATGGTGGTATTCCTGCACCCTACTTGCTCTTCCTGTCGATTCAGTAAATGAAATGTTACATAAGGAGCATTGAATTCATTGGCTTGTGTTGTGTAAGCACACACCAAGTCATGTGTGTCAATTTTTTTACAACTGACTTGGGAGGAATTTTGCGATTAGCAGAGCTCAGACGGCCTGGGATGCCTTTGATGGCTGCCTCCATTTGTTGAGATCTCAATAATCGCATACCTGTACTTGATAAAGCATACTTCTCTGTATTCTCCTTGCTACATTTCTCGTTATCCAAAACTATTTGACCTCGCAAAGTCCAATTATGCACTTCTGTGGGTTTCACAAGTCTCTTCCATCTCTGGTGTCCAGTGGTGTAAATGGGCTCCCACAGGATCTCTCCGACCTGATGCTGCATCACAGCTGGGGGGTTTATTCGGTCAGGACTGTGCAGGAAGAGCTTAGGAGATGTACAGTAGATGAATCAAAACAGTCTGATTGAAGTAGTCTTGATTATTCTCAAATCAGTTTCCACTCATCACAATCATGCCCTCATCAGTGCATGTGAAAATGAGGGGGAAATCTGCTTGTTTTGTCTTAATAACGGCAGTACTTCAGGATGATCTCGACAAGCTTGTGCAAAAATTTAGTGAACATGTTATCTAGAATAAGTTCAGAGTGATCTGATGAGCATCCAGTTCTTGTATAAATGTTCATTCATTTTCTTTTTGGCTTAGTTTCTTTATTAATTAGGGATCGCCACAGCGGAATGAACCGCCAACTTTTCCAGCATATGTTTTACACAGTGGATGCCCTTCCATCCACAACCCAACCCCCGGAAACACTCTTACATTCACACATACACTACGGCCAATTTAGCTTATTCTGTTCACCTATAGCACATGTCTTTTTACTGTGTGGGAAACCAGAGCACCCAGAGGAAACCCACAACAACACGGGGAGAACATGCATACTAAAGTCAGGACTCGAACCAGCAACCTTCTTGCTGTGAGGCGTTCATGCTACCCATTGCGCCACCGAGATGCCTTGTTGTTTCATAGTTTACTTTTTTTTTATAGTTTTTATTTTACGCTTTAATTTAAAATGTAATTTTAAAATCTCGATTTTGTTTCAACTTATTTGATTTGATCTTTTATTTAATTTTTCCTGAACTTTTTATTTGTTCATATGTTTATTTATTCATTGATTGATTTATTGTGTGTTAGCTTCATTTCGTTTCATTTTGCTTTGACTTTATTAATGTACTGTTTTCATGTATTTAATGTTTTGATTTGGTTTTCAATTGTTTGCTTGTTTTTTTTTTTATTAATTTTTGCTTTTATTTAAAATAGTTTTTTTTTTGCTTTGCTTTTTTGCTTTAGTTTTTCACTTAAATTAGTTGTAATAAAATAATAATAAATATTTTTAATATTATTTAATAATTGTTTGTTTTGCTTTTCTTAGTTTCCTTTTTCCTTTAAATTTTTATGAGGTCTTACATTTTAGGACAATCCAAAAAAATTGGATTATATATATATCCACTGTATATATATATATATATATATATATATATTATATGACTTTCATATAAGCCACTTTTGATGCCAAATGATCAACTAGAAGTCAAGTTACTATTTGTTGTTCCTAAAACTTGGATAAGCAACAAGACTTTAGTCAGGTAGTGTATACTTCATTCAATATGAATGTGTGCTTGATAACCTTATAAAAAGTTTTATGATGTGCAAATATAGTATCTAGCTAGTTTTATGAGCCTTTACTCTCAGATGAGTAGATAAGTGAAAGCTGCAGACTGAATGCACTGAGCCAAAATCCTGGATCTACTAAAAGTCACATGTAAGTCTGTCTCACTCTTCCCCCACAGCGATCAGCGCACCCTCTCAGACCCGTGTGATCACTCAGCCCCCTCTGCTTAGCTTCAGAACATTTTTTACATTCATTTCAACCTGAAATGTGATGCACAATAAACAATTAGCAAAGAATACTCTCTGCCTAAAGCGTGTTAAGTGATGCCCACCCAGGACCAACTTCTAAACAATTAAGGTCTTTCCTGTTCTGTCAATTCCTTGGAAATTAAACAGGAATGATGTCATATGACCTCTGATGATGAATTTTATGCTTGATTTGTCCACATCATCTCCATGACCCTGCTATAGATCTGCTCATTAGTGCTGCACCTGTTGAGTGTTTTTCTTTTTTTCTTTTTTCTTACAAATGTCCTGTTAATGCTTGTGAAAGTAGAATGAAGAGAAGCTTATAAATGAAAAATGTGTTCTGTGAAGTGACGTTTGCTTATTTACATTTTAGATTTTTAGATTTTAACTACCAAATTCACAGTGTTCTCAGCTTTTTAGAATCAACTATTGGAGAGTATATAGAGGAAAATAATACTGCTCAAAAGTTCTTCTTTCTTTCTCTTTCTTTCTTTCTTTCTTTCTTTCTTTCTTTCTTTCTTTCTTTCGTTTGTCCTTCCTTCCTTTCTTTATTCTTTCTTTCTTTCTTTCTTTCTTTCTTTCTTTCTTTCTTTCTTTCTTTCTTTCTTTCTTTCTTTCGTTTGTCCTTCCTTCCTTTCTTTTTTCTTTCTTTCTTTCTTTCTTTCTTTCTTTCTTTCTTTCTTTCTTTCTTTCTTTCTTTCTTTCTTTCTTTCTTTCCTTTATTCTTTCTTTCTGTCAGTCTCTGTTTTTCTTTCTTTCTTTCTTTCTTTCTTTCTTTCCTTTATTCTTTCTTTCTGTCAGTCTCTGTTTTTCTTTCTTTCTTTCTTTCTTTCTTTCTTTCTTTCTTTCTGTCAGTCTCTGTTATTCTTTCTTTCTTTCTTTCTTTCTTTCTTTCTTTCTTTCTCCCTTCTTTCTTTCCTTCCTCTTCTTTCTTTCTGTCAGTCTCTGTTTCCCTTTCTTTCTTTCTTTCTTTCTTTCTTTCTTTCTTTCTTTCTTTCTTTCTTTCTTTCTTTCTTTCTTCTTTCTTTCCTTCCTCTATTCTTTCTTTCTGTCAGTCTCTGTTTTTCTTTCTTTCTTTCTTTCTTTCTTTCTTTCTTTCTTTCCTTTATTCTTTCTTTCAGTCAGTCTGTGTCTTTCTTTCTTTCTTTCTTTCTTTCTGTCAGTCTCTGTTTTTCTTTCTTTCTTTCTTTCTTTCTTTTTTTCTTTCTTTCTTTCTTTCTTTCTTCCTTTCTTCTTTCCTTACTTTATTCTTTCTTTCTGTCAGTCTGTCTGTGTGTTTTTTTCTTTCTTTCTTTCTTTCTTTCTTTCTTTCTTTCTTTCTTTCTTTCTTTCTTTCTTTCTTTCTTTCTTTCTTTCTTTCTTTCTTTCCTTCCTCTATTCTTTCTTTCTGTCAGTCTCTGTTTCCCTTTCTTTCTTTCTTTCTTTCTTTCTTCCTTCCTTCTTTCTTTCCTTCCTCTATTCTTTCTTTCTGTCAGTCTCTGTTTTTCTTTCTTTCTTTCTTTCTTTCTTTCTTTCTTTCTTTCTTTCTTTCTTTCCTTTATTCTTTCTTTCAGTCAGTCTGTGTGTTTCTTTCTTTCTTTCTTTCTTTCCTCCGTTCCTTCCTTCTTTAATGGATAAACAGTATAATCATTATTATAAGAAAAAAGTCAAAATTATGAATTGCAAAGTTAAAGTTATGAGTCATTATTTTAAATATAAATTGTGTGCTTTAGAGTGAAAGTCATAACCTTAGTTGTTAGTATTGATGATGTCAAGTTTAATTAAAATTTAAAATTAATTATTTTTGAAAATATTATTGCTCATTCAATGTGATTGATATATTTTCTATTTGAGTTTATTTCAACAACGTCCTTTATTTGCAACTCATGGTATTGCTTAGTTTCTTATATGACTATAAATATAAATGTGTTAAAGTGTTTATGTTTTGTAGTTTTGTCTGTTTTGCTATTGTTTAGAATGTAAATGGACTGGATTAATCCTTGCAGAAGCAGGTTTTGGTCAGTAAGACAGATGTAAAGTAGGGCATGAGATTCCTTCAGCTCTGGTAAGTAGAAGATTCTACGTCATACATAGTACGTTTCTAGTGAGTAATATTTGAGTTTGTGTGTGTGTGTGTGTTGAAGTTTAAAACGACCATTGTTCATTGTGTGTGTTGTTTTGGTTTGGAGGGGTGTGTGTCCTCAGGCATTTGGAGGAAAGTCTGGCATGTGTTTAACAGTGAATGTTCACTTCCACAAGGTGTCTGAAATGGGCAAGAGGGAGGAGGGAGGGTGGTTTGTTCAGTGTGCAGAGTTTGCTGTGGTTTCACTCCTTCATCTTCTTGAAGGAGCTCAACCTCCATTTCAGACTGAGCATCTTCCTCCTCCTCCTCCCTCTCCTCCTCCTCTTCCTCCTCCTGAACCGGACAGACCGGTGCAGACTCATTGGACTTCTCTTTATTTGGCTTATTTTTTTTTTTTTGTTAAATGTTATAATATCATTATCATCTTCATCTTCATCCATCCTCTTGTTGGCCACTTCATCATTTCATTCACTTATTTGGCAGGTAAGAAATTAAGTTTAATTGAAATTATGCATTTTTTTACATAAGAAAAACATACTTTATTATTTAAAATGAATCAAAAAAATAATTTTTTGATTTCAGTTCTAATCTGCATATGTTTCAACTGGTTGATTTGGGTTAAATGTGAACTTGGGTATAATTTCAGATTCTGCTTTTTCTGTTTGTTTGTGTGGGTGTAATGTTTTTTTCTTCTTCACCAAAACAAAAAGGAGAGAAAGTAATGAAGGGGCAAAGAGCAATAGAGAGTAATGTCTGGAGACTGTGAGAGCTTAAAGTCTTTTAAGTCTTGAGTCTTAAAATTCTTGAAGCATTACAAATTAATATTGCTCGGATTTAGAGGACAATCTGCAAGCTTTTGTGCAGACTTTTTTTTGTGAACATCTGAAATGGATCCAAAATATGTGATTGTAATATTAATACATTATTAATTTATATCAGTTCATTGTTTGCTATTTATTTTAAATGGCATATACAGTTGAAGACAGAATTATTACAACAGAATTACTATTATTATTATTTTTTTCTTTTTTTAAATATTTCCCAATTGATGTTTAACAGAGCAAGTCATTTTTTACAGTATGTCTGATAATATATTTTTTTTTTTACTGGAGAAGGTCTTATTTGTTTTCTTCCAGCTAGAATAAAAGCAGTTTTTCATTTTAAAAATCATTTTAAGGTCAAAATTATTAGCCCCCCTTTAAGCTATATATTTTTTCAATAGTCTACAGAACAAACCATTGTTATACAATGACTTGCCTAATTATACAATGATAACCCTATCCTGCCTAGTTAACCTAATTAACCTAGTTAAGCCTTTAAATGTCACTTTAAGCTCTATAGAAGTGTCTTGAAAAATATCTAGTCAAATATTATTATGTACTGTCATCATAGCAAAGATAAAATAAATCAGTTATTAAGGATGAGTTACTAAAACTATTATGTTCAGAAATGTGTTGAAAAATATTTTCTCCATTAAACAGAAATTAGGGAAAAATAAAACAAACATTACTCTGACTTCAACTATTACATTCCTCCAAGCAAAAATCTGTAATTTAATATTTTGCTACTTATAAATTTTATTGTTTATATACTGCACATATGTGAAAAATTTAATTTGTTTTGTCTTTGAAAACAAGCATAGTGTAAAAGAAAAGAAAAAATCTCTTAAAGTGATTCACCCCAAATCTTTGTAATAATTTACTCTTCATTTGTTCAAAACCTATTTGAGTTTCTTTTTTTGTTGAACACAAAATAAGAGCTCTTAAAAACGCTGGAAGCATGGCACCTACCATCTATGTATATTGATTTTATTCATTTTTTTTATACCGTGTAAGTCCCAACAATTAGAAATTCTCAGAATATTATTTTTATGATCCGCTGAAGCAAGAAACTCTTATAACACTACATCAGGAAGAGTAAACATATTTTAGGGTGAATTATCACTTTAGTCAATGAATAATGTACAGTATATCAACTTGAATATTTAGATTTCTCTCTCAGATATTGACAAAATCACTCCACCTCTCCGCTCAAGTCTGCTTTTAAATCCTCGCGTCATTGGCCAGCCCACCCTGAGACTTGTACAGTAGGGGAGAGCGGGGACAGTTGCAAAACTTCATTTCCTTCAGTTTCTCAGAGACAGTTTTTTGTGGAAATCCAAAACAATAATATAAGAAACCCACATCTATTGGACACCCACCCATATTGCTATATTGTGTACATATGATAATATATGCAGAATTTAAACTTGAACAAAGTTAAACGATGCAGCTGACCCCTAGCAGGGGGACAGTTTCAACATTCTTTAAAATGTAAAAATAAAACAAATCCTAAAACAAAATGTTGAATTTTATTTTTATTTTTTTGGTAAACAGACTAAAAGTACATTAGTTAAATTGTTTAATGTGTTAAACTGGGCATATAAATACAGACTATTGAAAGAACAAGCAACAGCTAATCACGCCTAAAACATTCATGCATTCATTCATTTTCTTTTCGACTTAGTCCCTTTGTTAATCAGGGGTCGCCACAGCAGAATGAACCACCAACTTGTGCAGCATATGTTTCACGCAGTGGATGCCCTTCCAGCTGCAACACATCACTGGGAAACACCCATACACTCAAAAAGAAACTGAACAAAAATAATATGAATTGAAATTCTAGACTGAACCTTTACTAAACTACTACTTTTAACTGTGAAATGAATTATATAATCAAAAGATTAATTTTTTTCTAATAAAAAATTACATTAAAACTAATAAAAATAAAACTGAACGTTGTTAATATGGCAAGCTTTTAAATTAATTTTGTAATTAGGGACAGTTGTAATGCATGTCTCAACTGTCCCAACTCTGTCAATCACAGTTTCTTTAACGTTTGACAGCTAATAAAGCTAAGAAAACAATGATTTAATTGTACGAATGAATAATGTTTCGGATTTTTTTAGTTAGACATAAGTTTTATACTGAGGGAATGTCACATATGGCTGATTTCTTTTAAACTGAAGGAGGGTCTAACTGACAATATTTAGTATGAATATCATCACTCGAGCTCATTCCTGAATGGAGGAATAAGTCTTGTTGCAACCGCCCCATGTTGCAAATCTGCCCATTCTCCCCTACAGCCCACTGTCCATATCACACAGCTGGTCTTTAACCTCACCCTTGCTGTATTAACACTATACAGTGAGCACTTATATTGACCACTGACAAATAAACTCATATGAGGAACGGAAATCAAACAAGCATCAGGTCACCAGTCATTGGTCACAGGTTACTGAAAAGCCCATATATCTATTCAGGCCAACCTTGAGCTCTCAACACACAAAGACTGTACTGTACACGATGTGTCTAAACGGCTCTTTGAGAAAACGGTGACCTCTAATCCTTGTTCAATTATCCTGGATGCTTTTATCAGGCCCTGAACTAATCATTTCTTAAACATTATGGTTTTGGTTGCTCATCGATTGGTCGTGCTGCTCTTTTGGTGATCCTTGGTTTGTTTATTGTTGGTTGCAGAGGGCTATAAACTGTATGTGGTTGTCTCAAGGACATAATGATCTTCTCTTCTGTACATATAAATCAAAGCAATTGGTCATAGACAGAAATAGTGAACAGCACTAATAATTTCATAGACCTGAGTAGTGATGTTTTGTGGAAAAATGAAAAAAAAAAAAATATATATATACATATATACATGTATGTATGTATGTGTGTGTGTGTGTGTGTGTGTGTGTGTATATATATATATATATATATATATACTCTGCTTAAAGAGAAATTGTTTTTAGATGGGGTTGTTTTTTCTTAAGAATTCCACTAGGGGGAGCTGTTTAACAAAACCAGCAAAATCTTTAAAATGAGTAGTGCTTGCAAAAGTCATCACTATTACTCATGTTTAGTTTGAGGGATTTCAGTACTGAATATAGGAGAATGATATGGAATAATGGAATTTATGGAGTTGGCAAGCTGATTTTTTAATAATTGTAATTTAAACTTGTGAAAGTAAATACCATAATATTAAGCACTTTTAAATAATGTGAGTTTTAATTAAACATTTTATTTGAGTAAACATTTTGTTATATTAATATTAAAAACGGCCTAAATTTCTCAAAATCTTTGTATATGTTTAATGTTGATTGGTTAGAATTGAAATTATAAGATTAAGAAGTTTTTAATACTAGTTTTTAGTTTATTATTATTATTATTATTATTATTATTAGTAGTAGTAGTAGTAGTAGTAGTAGTAGTATTATAAAATGCACTATGTTGGTGCTTTTTGTTTTATGATCTGTTTTCCTTTCCTTCCTTTTTTTTTATTTTCATATGCTGTATTAATTTGATCTGCTTTTGTTTTATTAAAAATATTTAGATTAGTTGTAGTTTATGTAATGACTACAGCCCCGTTGACACCCTCTGCATGCCAATGCATTGAAGAAATTAACAGTTGGATGTGCCAGAACGTTCTTCAGTTAAACAAAAAGAAAATTGAAGTCATTGCATTTGGGAATAGAGATGAGGTGAATAACCCTAACAACAAAAAATAAGGTCAAGAATCTTGGTGTGACTCTGGAGTCAGATATGAGTTTTAATTGTCATGTCGAAGCAGTAAGTAAATCCTAAATCTACTACCATCTCAAAAACACTGCAAGAATTAGATGCTTTGTTTCCAGTGAAGACTTAGAGAAACTTATTTATGCTTTTAATAGCAGCAGGGTGGATTACTTTAAGGGCCTCCTCACAGGCCTTCCCAAAAAGACAGTCAGACATCCATAAAGCTGCAGGCAGGATTCAGACCAGAACCAGAAAATCAGAGCACATCACACCTGTCCTTAGGTTTTTTACACAGGCTCCCAGTTACATTCAGAATAGATTTTTAATTATTACTACATGTCTATGAATCACTAAATGGCCTTGGACCTTAATACATTACAGATATGCTCTCTGAATATACGCCTATTAGATCACTCAGATCTTCAGGATTATATAAACTAGAAATTCCAAGAGTTCAGTCAAAGCAGGGGGAATTGGCTTTTAGCTTCCAGAAATGACCAGATGTGCTCCAACATTAGACACAATCAAATCAAGACTGAAAACACATCTGTTTAGCTGTGCCTTTACTGAATGAGCACTGTGCTGCGTCTGAAAGATCGCACTATTATGTCTTTCTTTTTTTCATTCTTTTATCTGTTTTCTTAATTTTTATCATCCATTTTTTTATTTTTTAAACTTGTCTTTTTCATTCTTATTTATGTAAAGCACTTTGAATTGCTACTGTGTATGAAATGTGCTATATAAATAAACTTGCCTTGTCTATATGAATGGATAGATAGATAGATAGATAGATAGATAGATAGACAGACAGACAGACAGACAGACAGACAGACAGACAGATAGATAGATAGATAGATAGATAGATAGATAGATAGATAGATAGATAGATAGATAGATAGATAGATAGATAGATAGATAGATAGATAGATAGATAGATAGATTGGATGGATGGATAGACATATGGATAGACAGATAGATAGATAGATAGATAGATAGATAGATAGATAGATAGATAGATAGATAGATAGATAGATAGATAGATAGATAGATAGATAGATAGATAGATAGATAGATAGATAGATAGATGGATGGATGGATGGATGGATGGATGGATGGATGGATGGATGGATAGATAGATAACTGTAGATACTGTAGATAGATAACTGTAGACAGGTAGGTAGATCTTTGTTTCAGCTCATGTCAAAACCTTTTAATAGATGCTTGTAAACCACATGTAAATACTAAGGAAATGTGCTTAGAAGACTCTCACTAACACTTGGCTTGCCTTAGCAGCCCAATAGCGACCACTTCAACATTTCTCATTATACTTTCTTATTAATAATGTGACCATGTGCATGTGCAGCACTAGAGGAAGGAGTTGCATTCTTATTGAATATAACTATAGGTAGTGCACAACTCTAATTATTTTTTACACATCATTATTCTGTATGTGTAACTTTTACATTTAAGTCTGGAAATTTAGGGCTCAAAAGATCAGTCTCAACTCATCTGATGCTAGTTGCATAAATACGCTCCATTAAAATATCATTTGACCTCAGCCTTCCCCTTCTCCTCCAGCTGCGGTCCAGTGAGCCTGAGTGAAGATGTACCTGGAGAATAAGAGTAATATTGAGGTGGAGATGTCTCAAACCGGAGGCCAGGGTCACTCCAGCAGGGTAGGCCGCCGAAAGTCAGACTCTGTGTCTGGAAACTTTGATGAGCTTCGCCTGCTGGAGGGATTCTCCGGAAAAAAAGAAACACAGAAATTACTGCAGGCTGCAGCCATGCCCTCGGGACACTGCATCATCTACACCGACGTCCATCAGGAGGACAGGTAGGACAGAAGTTCATGAGATTTTTAATATTAAATTGTTATTCAAGATGGAGTGCATTAAAGGGGTACTATTGTACTTTTATGAGATGTGTTAAACGCCTCATGTGTCAACAGAAGGTATCTGTGAATGTTCAGCACTAAATACTTTACTGATAATTATTTATAAAAGGTGTTAAATGCAAAAATAAAATTTTTTTGTGTTTCTTTAAATGCAAATGAGCTGCTGCTTGTTTCCAGAATCGCGGGTCTCTCTAACTTTGGCAACAACAACAACCAAAGAATCTGTATGCAATTTGAAGGGGCCACAAGCTGCAATTTTTCCAAACCAGATTTGATCTTCCTCATCTGAACACATCATTCAAATAGGCTTGGTTGAGTGTAGATTCAGAATTAAACACCCACAAGACGCTTTTGCATTTTATAAAATGTTCAATGCTTTGCTTCTATTGCTAATGGCTCATTTTCAACTGAGTGGTACAGTTGGGTAAGGTACAGTTTTGGTACTCATTTATTTCAGTTTCCAGTACTGGAAGATTATTAAGCACCGAATTCCGCATCGAATTGTGCCTTGTTTGTAAATGAATCCATGGTAAAATTAATTGAACAATGGATCAAGATCTTAAAGATGTTCATCCACTCTTTCGTACTGTTGAGATCAGAAGGAAGGCAACGTAAAGTCTTTTTTCACTACAACTTTGGGAAACCTCTATCGTTTGGTTTAATAAGAATAATTCCTTACATTTATATAGCACTTTTCCTAAACACTCGAAGTGTTTTACACATTGGGGGTGATCTCTTCATCCACCACCAGTGTGCAGCATCCACCTGGATGACGCAAGGGTAGCCATATTGCGCCAGACCGCACACCACACAACAGCTGATTGGTGGAGAGGAGACAGAGTGATGAAGCCAATTATGATATGTGGATGGTTAGGAGGCAAATTTGGCCAGGATGACGGGGTTAAACTTCTTCTCTTTTTAGAAAGGACATCCAGGGGACTTTTAATGACCACATAGAGTCGGGACCTTGGTTTAATGTCTCATCTGAAAGATGCCTGTGTTTACATATACTGAGCTTAGATTTTAATAACAGATGGCGCTCTTTTTAACCGTGCACTCAAATGCTTACAAGGAAAAGCACTTGTTTATTTCTACGAGTCTTGTAAGTTGACTTTATATATATATATATATATATATATATACAGTATATATATATATATATATATTAGGGGTGTCACGATTCTCCAAATTCTCGATTCGATTACATTTTCGATTCTTAAATCACGATTCGATTCGATTTTCAATTATGAATAATTAATTAATTAATAACAAATTAATTATTTGTAGCCTACAGTTTAAACTACCTGACCTGTATGGTCTTTGTTTTACCCATAAACAAATCATACAGTAAATGAATAAAGGCAAGTTACACACATAATTACCACCTGTCAATCACTTTTTTCTTGTGAATAGGCAGTGATCTGTGTCGTTATTATGGCGTCGGTAAAAAAAGGTGCACAACCAACAGGAACCAGCCAACAATATCTGAGGTGTTTGCTAAAATGACTAAGTACTAGTGTGAAAGTAAAACATTGAAGCAGTCTTAACTAGTTTAATTAGGTTAACCAGGCAGGCTAGGGTAATTAGGCAAGTTATTGTATAACGATGGTTTGTTCTGGAGACAGTCTGAAAAACAATTAGCCTAAGGGGCTAATAAATTTGACCTTAAAATAGTTTATAAAAAATTTAGAACTGCTTTTATTCTAGCCAAAATAAAACAAATAAGACTTTGTTCAGAGGAAAAAATCTTATCAGACATACTATCAACATTTCCTTGCTCTGTTAAACATAATTTAGGAAATATTTTAAAAAGAAAAAAACAACAAAGGGGGCTAATAATTCTGACTTCCACTGTATATATATTTACAGTAATTTTTTAAATGTTTTTAAGAAAACTTATTCAGTTCATCAAGGCTATATTTATTAAATGTAAAAATTGTTAAATTGTTAAATATTTATCAAAATTTTAAATAATTACTTTGTTATTGTATGTAGTTTCAAATAAAATTATTACTCCAGACATTATTGCTTTTATTACTATTACCATTAATAAATATAATAATAATTAATATTAGTGATTTCTGAAGGATCATGTGACTGGAGTAATGAAGCTGAAATTTCATCTTTAAAATCACTGGAATAAATGAATAAATTAAATAATAAACTACTTTTGAACAGTTATTTTATAGTGCAACATTTCATAATTTGTATTTATGATGAAATAATTGCAGCCTTGGACAGGCCTAATACAACATATTATACGATTAAAATATGGAAAAATTAACAGATAGTAATTTCGGTCAATTTCCCTGATGGATAAACCGAGATCAGGCTGGATAAACAGCTCTCGGTAATATTTCAGCATGCTTTCACTTTCGCATTTACCGGTAAGAATGACATCTCGCCCTGCTCATCATTCTCTCTTTATATAGCCGTATATATGGCTATTACATAATCATAATACACTGTGATATAGCCTGGGTCATTAGTTTGTTGCATTATTTTGTTTTTTCACTACAATCGATTCGCTTAGTAGGGCAGAGACCGTCTCATTCAGGGGATCTCGGACTGATTTGGCGCGGATGCGAGCAACTGCTGGATATATGCCAAACAAACTAACGGGGGAAACGAGACAGATTCCGAAACAAACGTCTATGTGTGAGGCAGCACTGTACTCTGGCCTGAGCGTCTCGCACGCTGGCTCCGGGCTATCGGGCAGTCCTTATTGTCGAGTCCTGAAGGTTTAAGCTCTGTCGACGGATCTCCTGTCTGCACAGTTTAACAAGCACTTCAACAAGCGTGTTTTTTCCCGCTTGGGAAGCCAAGCTGACGTGACATGGGGGCGTGGCAGCATCGACGATTCTATTTTTTGATTCGATAATCGAAATCGAGCATAAATTTCGATCGATTTTCGATTAAAATCGAAATCGTGACACCCTTAATATATATATATTAGGGATGTAACGGTATCAGAATTTCACGGTTCGGTTATACCTCGGTATGAATGTCACGGTACGGTATTTATTGAATCATTTACAGGAAAAAAAAAACTTTTGAAAATACTCCAAAAAAGTGCCAAAAGTGTCAATGACATACAAATTAGCCATCAATCTGTAAGCTTTGAAACACTAACTTCAATTTTGATAACAAAAAAATTATTAAACCATGTAAAAAAAATAAAGTTTCAATTTAGTATTGTTGAAAACTCATCACATTCAACATTTAATCACTCACTCACTTAGATAGAGATGGGTTTAAAGGAAAATTATCATATAATTACAATCTGGTAAAAGCTGGTATCTCTGGGTATTTACAATGTCCCCTGCAACAGAAAAAAACCCTCTCATTTGGGACTGAGGTTTCTGGGACAAGAGAGATATGACTTGGCCCATGTTGACAGCAGTGGGGTAACGTTGTGCATTGTCTTTCCCCCACTTGAGAAGACAAACCATGAGTGAGATAGAGATCTCTTTGCGGTACAAGTCAATGTCTGCATCAATCTGAACAGTGTGCTGTGTTTCTGCAGTCCCCATGACTGTTATTAGTCGTATTCCCCAACTTGCAGGCACGTGCACACATAGGGCTCAACCTGTGCAGTGCGCATGCCCTTTTTAGTCTTGGATAGAAAATGCCCTTCCAAAACGATCAAAAGTGCCCCCGCGACGCGACACAACCTCCGTCCAATCCAGCCCTTCAGTAGGCGCGCGACAACACCTCTCTTGAATATGCGTGCTCAACCCCCCCTCGGCGCTTTACAATACGTGCGCCACAACACAGCTGATCAGAACGCGCGCGACAGCACCGCTATTCAGCACGCGCGCAGCGACAACACCCGCTTTAGGTTCGATCATTTCCATCTTTTTTTCATCTCCGCTACTAGCAGCACACTCCATTTCTGCATTACTGGATCTGTAGCGACAACAGACCGCAAAGGATTATGGCCACGCCTGGGCTGATGGGAAATGTAGTTTCAGCTACGTCCCGTTCGCTTCATTCGCCTGAGCAAATTTTCTCAGAAGACCTATAGTTTTACCGAGTCATGCGACTTCGATAATATCGAAAAAAATTAATATTGCGGTATGACGGTATTTACAATACCGTTACATCCCTAATATATATACATATATATATATATATATATATATATAAATAATCACACACAGCTCACTTTGAACACTTTTTAAAAACTCGCTGAAACCATCCCTAACGTTATTAATGATTAATTTAGGTTTACGTGGTATTTGTAAGGAATTGAATACAAGCAAAGTACAGTTGTCTGCAAGACATCCAATGCCATCCTCTGTTGAATACCAAACTCAGAAGTGCTTCAAGAGAGATTAGCGTTCTGAAAATCTTAGAATAGATGCAGAATCAAATTCTTGAACTATTTTTCACCAGAGATCTGCTAGTGCAGAGATGCCCAAAATAGGGTCCACAGGCCAAAGTCGGCCAATAGTAACCTTTGATTTGGCCCACCATCCCATCTGAGATTGTGATTTCTACAAATCTATTGTAACCTTTTGTTTGTTTGTTTGTTTTATTGTTAAAAGCTAACTAAAATGAAATGTTTCAATTAAATATGGTAAATGAATCAGATTTAGTTTAAGTATTCCCTTCCTTTTCTTGAGCAGTAATAGTTTGGTATATTTAGATTTACATTTAGTCATTTAGCAGACGCTTTTATCCAAAGCGACTTACAAATGAGGACAAGGAAGCAATTTACACAACTATAAGAGCAACAATGAATAAGTGCTATAGGCAAGTTTCAGGTCTGTAAAGTCTAAGAAGGAAAGTATTAGTAGTATTAGTATTTTTTATTTCTTTTTTGGTACAGTTAGTGTGATATCCAGAGAGGCAATTGCAGATTAGGAAGTGAAGTGGAGACTAAATAGTTGAGTTTTTAGTCGTTTCTTGAAAATAGCGAGTGACTCTGCTGTTCT